ATTTGGAAGACAAAGGTGCTGAAGCTCTGGCCGTTTACCGCGACAGAAGACCCTTCCACCGTAGAACGCAGTCTGACAGCTTCAACTCCAGCGGGTCGAGCCAAAACAACTACAATCATCGACCGACCTCCACATTCGGGAGGAATGCAAATACTCCACGCAAACATTCACCGTCATACTCTCATCGGCACTTCCATGGCGCAACCTCGCAATGACGCAATATCGGCAACAACTACCAACCTAGGTACAAGACACGCAGCCTTGACACCGCGAGTGGAGGTATGCAATTTTTGTCTTCAAAATGGACATATTGAAAGAGAATGTGAACTGAAATCTATGGTAGGTAGAGTCAAAGATATTGAGTTCCGCCTTCTCAACAAGAAGAAACGACTCTCATCCCGCCAAGTCAACTTAGTTGAAGCCGAAGAGTCTGAAGACAACAACAAAGAATTCATCGACTTAGACAACGTACTAGAGGTAGAAGCGTGCATGGTTGAGATTGACAACCTCGATTCTTTGAATGACCAACTCCTACAACCAACAAAAGTGAATCTTGTTCAACGAAGTGAAAACTCGTCCATTTGGCATCTTGACTCTGGGGCAACACACCACATCAATGGCAACTCGTCATTCTTTTGCAGCCTCAAAAGCAAACGATGTTCTGGCGTCAAATCAGCAAGAGGTCAAGGATATGAAGTGCTCGGAGTCGGAAATGTTGACATACTCTTCCCTGCTAACGGCGTCCACACAATATCCCAAGTACTCTACTCTCCCTCCATTAAGCAAAATCTTCTGTCAGTAGGAATTATTGCTGACCATGACCATAGTCTTGAATTCTCCTCAAAAGGTTGTTTTATTCGCAATCGACATACCATAGAGCTGGTACCATTTGCACCAAGGGAAAATGGAACGAGGCTATACAGACTTGAAGGAGAAACAGCGGTCCAACCCAAAGTCAATTTTGTTACAATGTAGCGACCTACACCATCCGACATCTGGCATCGAAGGCTAGGTTACTATCACCTTGAGGGTATCAAAAGGATGATAAGAGTAGAAGCTGATCTAGGACTACCGCCGCTTCGAATCATCGACAACCCTTGTGTGACGTGTTTTCAAGGGAAGCAATCTCGCACAAAAATCCCAAAGTCTTCCACCAATAGTGCCACAGTACCACTACAGCTCATTCACACTCATGTGTGTGGCCCATTTCAAACAGTCTCACTCGGAGGGGCCAAGTACTACATTACTTTTATTGATGATTATTTTTGAAGCACATCCGTTTACTTTCTGTCTCGCAAGAATGAAGCGCTTGATAAGTTCAAAATTTTTCATGCAGAGGTGGAAGCTCAAACATCACACCGCATCAAGACTCTTAGGTCAGACAACGGTGGAGAATTCACGTCTCAATCTTTCATCGAATACTGTCAAAATCACGACATCATGAGATAGCTGACTATACCCCAAACACCGCAACAAAACGGAGTAGTTGAGCGTCGAAACCGATCATGACTGGACATCACCAGATGCCTACTGATAAAGAAGTCTTTGCCGCATTTTCTTTGGGCGGAGGCAGTACGAGCCGCATGCATCATCCTCAACTTACGCTCCACCAAGCAACTTCCGCATATCACGCCATAGGAGCTATTTACGGGCACCAAATCTACTGTAGACAAGTTACGCATCTTCGGATCTACTGCATACATCCACAATCATCGTCACGATCAAGGCAAGTTGGACACACACACCCAAGAATGTATCCTCCTGAGCTATGATGACAGATCTGAAGGCTACATGTGCTACCAACGGGACCGACAAAACGTAGTCATTTCCAAAGACGTCAAGATTTTGAAATTCACTCACGTGGATCTGCCGGAAATCAAGGCAACTACAACTGAGCAGATCTCGGATAGCGCTGATGTTTGTAACTTTCCAGCCATAGCCCTAGTAAAGTCGCCGCTAATACCAACCACCTCTGACAGTTCCACCTTGCTAGCCACCTACGAGACATCGCCACCTTCTTTGCAACTTCAGTGGGACGTTCACAATCCCACAACCTTATCAGGCGAGCCTCCGACATTACCACAAGACGACGTGGCTCCGCAGCCACTGGCCAATCCACCACTTCATTGCTCAGCTCGGGTCAGGCGGCCTCCACCTCACCTCAAAAACTTCACCGCTCTCTACGAATCTGATGTTCCACCTGACGTCATCCCAAGTGATGATGACGATCTCCAGTATGAAAACGTGGCACATGATCCCAGCTAGATAGCTACAATGCAGCGTGAATACCAGTCAATTCTCAAGCATGAAACATGGGATCTCGTGTCTCTTCCGCTAGGAAAAAGAACGATCAGTGCACGTTGGATCTTCAAACTCAAGCCTTTGAGTATAAACCAATCCCCACGTTACAAAGCACGTTTGGTGGCACGGAGCTTTGAGCAACGGCATTGCGTTGATTACAGCAAAACTTTTGCTAACGTTGTCAAGTGGGAGACCATACGAATCGTTTCCGGCATTGCAGCACATGACGGTTGGACACTTTGTCATCTTGACGTAGAAACGGCATTCTTCAATGGCGTCTTGAAAGAAGAAGTCTATTTTGCCCAACCACAAGGATTTATCATCAAAGGGCACGAACACCTACTATGCTGCCTTCGTCGATCGTTATACGGACTGAAGCAAAGCCCATGCACATGGTACTCAAGAATTGATGCGGCACTTCATTAGCTTGGACTCACGCATAGCGACACCGACAACAACATGTATTACTGCCACACAGTTAATCACGTAATTATTCTGGTATTGTATGTTAATGACATTCTTGTCACATGCAGCAATCAAGAATAAGTAATGCGCCTCATCAACGAACTCAAATCAGAATTCTCAATGACTGACCTTGGCCGTGTGCGCGAATACCTTGGTGTGGAATTTCACCGAACACCACACGGACTGTTAGTGCACCAGACATTGTTTGTTCACGAGATTCTTCAAGAATTCGCATACTCAAAATATCGCCCTGTCACATTCCCTTGAATGCAGGTCTGCGACTGCGCCGCGACACCGGGACTACTCTAGTGGATTCCATAGCTTACCGTCGACTCATAGAAAAAATCATGTACGCGGTCAAGACACGCGCATACATAGCTTTTGCCACCAACATGGTCAGCCAGTATATGTCCGCACCTCAAACCACTCACCACGCTGCAGCCAACGGCATCCTTAGATACTTAAGCAATCATCCTTCCAAGGAGAATTTTTTTGCAACAGGGGAGGAAAATTTCCTTGCGGGATATTCTGATGCGAACTACGCCCAAGACAAGGACGACCGGATCTCAATAGTTGCCAACGTTTTCTTCCTCGGAAGCACTCTCATATCATGGAGCTGCAAGAAGCAAACCATCACTAGTCGTTCTAGCTATGAGTCCGAATACCGTGCACTTAGCAACTGCACAAGTGAAGCAATTTGGATCCGCAGGCTACTTCGAGAACTACGGCTTCTACCTAAGGGAGTGACTCCAATTGGCGTCGACAACCAGAGCGCGATCAAACTCACCCGCAACCCGGTCTTTCATGATCGCACTAAACACTTCGAAGGTGATCTTCATTTCTCAAGATAGAAGGTCGACAACCAGAGCGCGATCAAACTCACCCGCAACCCGGTCTTTCATGATCGCACTAAACACTTTGAGGGTGATCTTCATTTCTCAAGATAGAAGGTCGAGACTGGCAGAATCACTGTGAACTACGTCCCCACAAACAAACAGCCCGCCTACATACTCACCAAGGCATTGGGCATAACCAAATTCGAAGTCAGAAGGAACCTACTTAATCTCAAAAATCTTGCCGAGACATCCTAACGTTACAAGCCAAGATTTGATCACTTCACAGGCCAGATTGGCATGGCAGCCCCGCAGCAATCGTCCGTGCTGTGACTTAAGCCAAGATCTCATCTCATCTCATTCTCATCAGATCTCAAGAATTTTGTTTAGTTTTTCATTTCCTGCATTTTCTCGACAAGGATCATCAACAAGAACCTTGTGAGCAAGGGAGGATGTTTACCAGTGTGTGCCCACTTGGCCTTATTTACTCCTAGTTTTTAGAAACATTCTCTGGTCCCATCCGTCCCTGGCCTTATTTCCTCCTAGTTTTTAGAAACATTCTCTGGTCCCATCCGTCCCTGCTCGGGTGCTTATGTGTTTCTTCACCTTAACCTTCTTCACCTTATAGTGCACCATTTGTGTTTCAACATCCTCTTCTATCAAAGGGCGTGAGCAGAAACAACTTCTCTTTCTCACAGACACAAAAAGCGGATCCACGGGTTCCGTCTCCGCGTCACAATCTAAACACAACAGCTTCCTTAAGCGGTCACATTGAGAAACCCTCGAAAGAACATCACGATGTAAAACGCAAAAGGAATCCAAGCTTCATCAAAGGATCGTAGATATCTCCCTCTCCTTTCCTGTCCCAACCTTCGTGCTTACGAGGGACGTTTCTTGCACTTTCAGCACCTCTACTAGCTTCGGCTTTCCTCCGAGTATCGTTTCAAAAAACTTCTCAGATCTACTTCGCTCTGATACCACTTTTCACAAGTATTTTTTGACGCTCAGACAGTATTCATTGCAGGAATTACACGAGAAGTGATAGAAATATTCATGAGAAAAAAATATCCAACACGAAACAAAACGAAGTACATAGGAATGTAGAAAGGATGTAGCCCTGACGGGGTGGACTGTGTCACTACGTCCACGGGAAGGCAAAATGCGAATCGATAATACAATAGCAGGAAGAATAGAAGATCCATTGGAAGTTTAAGTAACCTAGTGCCAACCGACTACAGACGACTACAAACAGCAGGTTAACTCGAATAATGAATTAACCTCAACATTTTCATCAGATAGAATATTTCTTGTGATATGGATAGTATCTATCAAAATAAGTCATTATGACAATCTAAAAGTTAATCCATCTTTTTAATAATTAACCTTAAATTTAATAAACCCTCATCTACATGAAATTTTGTGTTCATTAAAAATACAAGATTCAATAATAGATGCCTGTTCGTGTCAAATCATCATCTTCTGATGAAATAGATGATGAATTGAACTCTCTGGAATCTGCTATCAAAGAACATCTCAAAGGTAAGATGATTAACAAATCAAATCCATGAATAATGTGAGTATTATGATCACATGCCAAAACATCAAAACATAAACATCAACCGATTGAACATTTCAACCTTGTACACTTTGTAGAGATAAATTTAAATTACAAAAGTGAAGAACATATCACTATGTGGCTTGATAAAAAATACTTCATCAAGCTATATAGGAACAAAATCAAACAACACCATAAGACAGTGACCCAAATAACATCACAATTAGAAACATATCATAATAAATATGTTTTGCCTGCACTCATGCATCAAAATTGTCTAAATCAAAAAATCTTCTAAACAAGAAAGTAATGTTAACAGAATGCACATCGAAGTGAAGAAAACAAAGTCCTGCCCATATTACAATAGGTTGTCACACAAGGATTTCAAACATGATGAATGATTAGCTCCAAGTAACTTCAAAGTAACAAAGAAAAAAGTCGATATGAAGACATCAATTTATACGGAATTATGCAGTTACCTTTGGTCTTCCGTTCATGCATATAGCAAAGTATTTCGCAATCGCATAGTACTTCGAAATCGAAAAAGGTTAAGCGCAATGGAATGGAATACGTATTTTCCAAACGAAGAGGACTGGGTATTCCGGGGCGTGTCTCCATCTGTAGAAGAGGAGAAACTGATCCGGGCCGAGCTCAGATGAGATGAGGCCTGTCTGACAGATTGACGAGCCAATGATTTCACGGCTGTCGGGAAATGGACAACGAACACGAGGAGGAGCGGGCCCAAAGAGGAACCAATATCTCCATGGAACGCCCAGGGAACTTGTGCACGCGGTTCATTTTCTGTTCTTTACAGAACAGAAAAGCTCGAGGCACTTTGCTGCGAATAAAGGACACCCCCCGAAGTTGCGCACGCGGTTTTTGGCACGAGAGCACATGTTGAACGTGCGAGAAACTGGAGGCAGACGGGCAGAATATCACCCCAAGGCGAAAAAGCGAAGCAGTGCCAAGGGCTCGAGGCCAGGCAAGGCAAGGCATCGAGAGTCGAGAGTCGAGAGGTATAATGTGTCACTTGTGTGCCACTTCGCGTCTTATCGCACCAGAGGCCCAAATCATTCGACGGGATGTCCCCAGGAATCCCTAAAGCCACGGCCTACGGACCTTCTAGATCCCATCCACATTCGTCGTCGTCTCGGCTCCTTGCTCCGTTCGCGCTCCGTTGCGTTCGACAGACAGGTACGCGAAGGAACAGGAAGAATTCGAATCGAACGACCTGGTCGAACGTTGGGCCGTCGAGCCCTCGCGTTTGAAATCTGCCAGCTCAGTGGGACTGGGAGGCGGTGGAGTTAGCCGGACCCGATCATCGACCGTGGGTTTACTGGTGGTAACCGTAGTTACGACGGAGAACTCTTCTCGAAGCCCTCGTTTCGTCCGCACTGTCGTCACAGTCAGTTACTAAACCCGAAAAAAGCCCGAAAAGAAGCAGCCAGCGATGAGCGATGCCGGAATGAAGAACGCTCGGACGAGAATCATTCCTCGGTCATTGATTCTCGCAGTAAAAGCGACCGGTTTCTGACCGGAAGATCCTGGCGGGATACGGGGGACACAGCAGGAAGAAACAACATCACGTGGGGACGGATGATTCCATTCGAGATTCCTGTCCTGATTGAAGCGTCCGATGCGACCACAACTAGGCTTGGCCACGGTCCGGAAAATTTGTGGTCCGGTTAACCGGTCCAAGATTGGTCCGTATCGGTCACGTTTAACCGATATTTTTAACCGGTCCCGACGGTTAACCGATTAACCATAGGTCCGGACCCCTACGTGGTCGATGGGGAAGGGCCTTAATACCCAAAAATTCTCGATGGCGGAGGGAAAGAGGTGCGCCGTGACTCAAATGAGCACACGGTTGGACGTTAGAGACTCGAGCTGAGTTGTACCAATTTGTGAAAAAAATTTCTCACGAATTTTCTCACACTGAATCACGAATTGGTTATCTCGCTGGTTTGATTTTGCTGCCAGAGTAAATTTTTTCCCGGACCGTGACCAAGCCTAACCACAACTGCGAATGAACTGCGTACGCAAAGGAGCGACGCGGTCGGAGTTGGAGCTGAACCCAGTCCGTGGAGAGGGAGCAGGAAGTGTGAAGGGGACGACTCGAGGGGAAGCATCACGAGCCTCCAACTTTGCTGATGGGCTGAACCTTCTGATGATGCCGATAGATCGTCTTTAGTGCCGCACATTGTTTCCAGCCTGGACGTGACTCATTGAAGCTGAAACTGAAGATGAAGACGAGAGCTCTCGATCGGGGTGGATGAGTGTATCTCTTTGCAGTGAATGCATGAAGTCGTACACTCGTACGAAGCTCTCCAACCAGGCCACGGGCCCAGACACGCAAAGATGGAAGGGGAGGGACACCGGAGAAGCAAGCAGGGCAGAGTGGTTCTCTCACTTTCCCACATGTTCATCGGCTACGAAGAATCTGGACCAACTCCGATCATTTCCACCGGGAGGTCGACTAGTCTCTACTCTACGTGTAACACTCCAAATATGGTCACACGAAACTCAGAAATAGAATCTCGACCGGTTTGCAGAGCCATGGATCTATGATTTTGTGGGTGGGTGACAAAATTTCCAGCTCGCATCAAGGAATATTAGCTAGCTAGAATATCCATGTAACCTTCTCACCAGTAAGACTTGGGGCCACTGGTCAAGCCCGAACATTCCTGCAGATGACAGAAAAATTATTCACGACAATAATTTGAGGAGCCAGCCGACGTTGCAACAGCCAAGAATTTTTGATGAGAACTAACCAAGTTCCGATCCTGGATTGCACAGTTCGTCATCAACGTACACGCGTTTCCAGATCAAATCAAGAAGGAATGAAGGAAGGAATGCTCGAGCAGTAAGTGACTTGACCGAGTTCTCCTCAAGGGTAGCGAAACATGCCACAGTTGTCAAATTTAGAATTATCAAAGACACGATTTGCTGATTCCCCTCAACCTCATCCCACGAACAAAAGTGGAACTGGAATTGGAACGAATAGCTCAGACTATATTGGGGAAGCAGGTGACGATGGCGGCGGGGATGGATACCGAAATAAGTTGACCAGCTGCATCCCACCAACAACAACAAGGTGAAGTTTTCAGATGGACTTTCGAACCATGGGTGGCATGTTGTGGCCTAACTTGAAGTGGAAAGTAGAAAGCTAATGAGACTTCTAAATCTGGTTCCTCAGTCCATATTCCATACAGCTGAATGACTTTTTGTTCTATGCATGCCCGGGTCTGTCTAACATGAGCTTTGACTGAGAAGATACAGTTGGACCTCAGGGGAGATCTCGTCGGATGCACAGTTCCGAAAAGCGATTTGGACGATCATGCAGACGCACGACCAGCACGCAAGTCTGCCCCCATTCGTTTGGGGCGAATGGCCGCTATACATTTGGCCAAACGGAGAGGATGAATTGCCACATTGGGAAAGCGAGAGAATCGATTTGGTGCAAGGTTACACGTCCATCATTCAATGCTGAATCTCTGGGGCTGATCAACTGACACGTGAGCGGTCTTTTCCTCCCTTTGCCATCGCATTTCTTTGAACAAGTGTGCTGAGTGACAAAGTTCGACAGTTGGTCAGCAGACTGAAGCTCGAACAGATTCCGAAAACTGTAGTTCTGCCATTCTAGGAAAGAGGTTGTGTCATTTCTCTACGACGAGTTTTAACCTGATCGTGCTTGACTGAATTCCCAAGATACAAAACAAGGCGTTGTTATGAAGTAAAAAGGAATGGAAAGGGCCGAGAAGAAGAAGGCCTGGGAAGACCTCATCAAGTCCTTCAAGGCATCACCATGCGAAGTATGTCTTAGCACATCTAAAGTATCCCAACTAACTGGGTGATTATCCTCAACGTAGAAATCTAGTCTTCGATCATACGAGAAAATATTACGATGGATTGCATCGCAGTTAATTTGCACACAAGGATTCATTCCCATCCATCAAGAAGAACCTTATCTGTTTGGTGCAAAGTCCTCATTGGAAACCATCACATCATTCAACTAATTTCCTTCTTCACGCTTTTCAGGTGAGAGATAAATGGATCAAGATGGAGCTCGACGACCGGGTCTCGACGCAAACTGGCCTCGCACTTTCAGCTTGATCACTGTATAGTTGGTTAACGGTTAATAGTTACACTGAACCCTTTTAAGACCGTCCTCCTCATTCTCCTTCAAAGCGTGAAACACTTGTTCCTGCATCTGACTAATCCAGTGCACACTGTCACCTCTCTCTCGATCTGAAAAGAGCAGTGGAGTTGACCGACAAAACTTGTGAGATTTCATAGGAGACTTGTTCTGCAACCCGCCCTCAATCGGTACATGTTGCGAACCTAACAATGAGGACCCCAAATATATAGATTGTGAACAAAATAACCCTAACAACGGAACCCCAATGAGTACTTATTACTTTAGCATTACTATCAGGCCTCTATATGCGGATCTGCCGGATGTTCAGCTGCAGAGGCTGAGCTTGTATTATACACTGTATGATGCAGTTTTTGGCGTCGTGGGAGTTTTGGCCATCTTGCTCCTTCGGTTTACCAGACTCGTTGGGACTCCGATTCTCCCATGTCTTATAGTGTTGGACGAGCTTTCACTCTCTTACAGTTCTTGCTAAGCTCCGGTGACCTGGAACTATTAATTTCTTGCTGCTCGAGAGCAAGCAGCAGGTATGATATGAGTTCAATTCCGGACTTGCAGCAATCTGATCTTCCAGATGGGTCAAAATTGCTCAAGTTGGGTTCTAGTAGGTCAATGGATCATTTTTCTCGGCAACTTGGCAGGCGGCAGCGGCAAGGATGGAGGCATAATGGTAGATGACCGGCAAGGATGGAGGCATTATGGATAGATGATTGATCGGGCTGGCCCGGCCAACCATTGATCATGAGAGCATTGTTCTTGATGTGTATATGGTGGACAACCGGAGTGGTTTGTTTCGCTTGGTGAGTTCTACATGAGAACTGTATGTCCCATTTTTAGTGCACAGCTCTTGATGTTAGACAAGACATCATGCATTAGTTTGGGAGTTCGGAGATCATACTTGGAGTTGCAATTTCTGGACTGACTCTCAATAAGATTTAACTTATATGTCTTTGCGGTAACTCATCATGGTTCTAGAAAACTAGGATTCCTCCTCATATTCATAGCCCAAATATACTTTCACGCAATGATTCAATTTATCACTTCAATTCACATACACATCAATGCTCCAAGATACTGAAAATCATCATTGTTTCATATATGAAACAAGTCTGTACACATGAACTCTCCAAACTTGTTTGAGAGTATGTTTTTTATCTCACTATTTATACTATTTGACAAATTACTATAGTAACATGTGCTAATTTTTATTAAATTTATTTTTACAAAGATAAATCATAGTAAATTTGACTAGTTACCGATACATAGCAATAGGCCATTGGACTCCTAATTCTCTTAGATGTTTATTAATCTCTAGATTGAGTTGACAACATGTCATTTGTGTCTTTCCAACTTCTAGAACCTCCATTTGCCGCTAAGTTAACATTAGATTTAGTTTAGCCAATGAAGTCTCCTTATTTAATTAAACCAATCAAAACTAAACATGAAGTCAAAAGTTTTTTTCCTTGAAATCTTGACTTTTGTATAAAACAAAATAGTAATGCTCACTCAAATCTTCTAGAAATTCTCTAGTTTTTCCGCCAAATATAGACATTATAGCTAAACATAGTCATAATTTGATACATTTAGTTATAAGTAGATAGACTTAGTTATGTCTAAACTAATCATACTCCACTCCTTGTCTATTGAATCATTGTCTTCTTAGATTGACTATGGGACAGAAACAGCTACCTATTGTCCTTGTTGGCAGTCATGAATTGATCGTATGAATGAGTTATCTGTGAGATTTAACTCTAAAGCTCAATCGTTTGAATCTTCTACTCCGATATTGGCATCCGTTGTGAATTTTAGCGGAATGCTTATGTGAACGAATGACTTATTGAAGGTCAACATGTTGACCAACAACACTCCAATCTATGAGGATGTGGAGGAGGTTGTGAGCTTTGCAGCGGCGGTGTACTATTCCTTGGACATTCCACTTTGACATTCTTGCCATGCGTTAAAGAATGAGGTTGATAGGCTGGTAAAATAGGTTTGGAATGAGATCTCTCTACTTGAGGAGATAGAGAAATCTTAGAGTGACTATATTTTTAATGGTCCTAGTATTCTATCCCTATTGATTATTACATAGATAGCATGGGAGTATTACTCATAGTATGTTTGTGTGTTGGATATTTTTTATGGGATCAACATATATTAGGCTGTAGTGTTCCAATCAAGTATTGTCGTACGGAGATACTTGTATGTGGAGAAGGATAAGATTGCACGCAAAATTTTCTCACGACATATTGCACAGTTGAAGCATTGTTATACTTCATTATTGTCACGATCAGCTGTTTGAGGATATCATAAGACGTTGACTTTAGATATTTCATTGTTCGAGGCGTGAGATTTTGATCGGATTAATCTTAATGATTCAATGATTGCGACATGGTCATGTGAGGATCACACGCGTTGGTCATGAAGCAGGTTTGCAATACCATAGATCCTAGGTGTTTTGGGAGATGTTACGTTTTTTACATGATCTCTAGTTACATCATGCATGTCTTCAAGCATACATTCTAATGAACGTGTCATTATTAGATGACGCTGGAATCCAGTTGATGTCAAGTGTTCATAAGATTAGATCATGGATTACATCTGTTATAGTGTTGAATGTTTCGAGGGTTGGATCTCGCGTTCATTGGTCATGATTATGATGGACAAATTTCTTGCCATGGGAGATATTACGCCGTGGCTATGGGTTTTTGTAGCACAATACTACGTTCATCGTCGAGAATATCTTGGATTTTCCGCAACGTTCTCAGGTGATGAGAGTTGTTGACAGATCATCTATGGCATTGATGAACCACATAGGTTAGCCTCGCATGGCTTTATCCACATTGGTTAGTTTTTTTTGCATCACATGCCTCTCGAGATGATGGACCTGAACTTGTATGGAATTCTATGGTGCATCAGTTGGTGGAACACAATGTTGATGAGAGAGAATGTGTGATGGAATCTATGACTGGTGTGACTACGGCTACTTTAGTTTAAGAGGCGTCACATCGTGGGATCTTTTATTAAGCTATGGATCTGAACTGTCTGACTTGGATTGTGAGCTTGAATTTGACCGAACAACGACGTCTTTGGGATGATTTGGTGGTTTTTACACCACTGGTTAGATCATTATTTACCAAGACAGTAGATGCAATGGCTTGGGACGACAAGCAAAATATTTTTCATACTTGGAATTCTTGGAACAAGACGAATGCATGCTAGAATTGCAATCCATGCAGTTGAAGTAGTTTTTCACAATGAGATTTATCCAAAGGAGGTTACGAAGAGCCGTATCAATTTTTTGAAGTATGGGACATAGCAGTTAGTGAGAGGGTCGTCTCCCTTTAATGTGTCTACAGAGAAAGATTGAAAGTCATTGATTGGTCCGCAAATCATAGGAGTAGAGAGAGACAACGATTGACACAATTCCTACATGCGTATAAGAGTTGTTTGCCCTTCAACATGAAGGAGTTGGATGTTTTTATTGGACTTGGCATATAGATAAAGTTGTCAATCTTTTGTTGTTCCTATCCATATAGTGATATGGAAAGGGATTTGATTTGGGGAAGTATGTTGAATCTACTGGAAACTGAATTAGTGAAATTGTCGCATGGTGAGTATGCGTCAACCATTGTCACGTCGGCGAAGAAATATGTACATGGCAACCCCACGGATGGACGAATGTGTGGAAACAGCTGTCGTATTAGTTGACAAACAAATGTCTGATAAGTATGTTATGCATACACCTAAGTACATCCTTGATGTGGTGGAACATGCGAAGATTTTTAGTACTTTGGATCTTCGTGAAGGATACCATAAATAACCGATTCGAGAGGGTGACAATGCCAAAACATCATTTCGGGGCGTCAACTTCCACAATAATGATTGTTTGTATCAATGGCAATTTTTACACTTCGGTTTGAAGAATGCACCTGCCGAGTTTCAGAGAGTTATGGACAAGATCCTAGCGGAGCTAGATTTTGTACGTGTTACATTGATGATATCTTGGTATTTAACAATATTGTGGAACAACACGAGATACATTTGCATATTGTATTTGAACGATTGAATCCTCATGGTGTGCGTTTGCATCCAAAAAAAGTGTAAGTTCTTCCAAGAAAATGTTATATATTTAAATCATATGATCTACTCATGTGATTTTGATGTTCAGCAATCAAAAGTTGAATGTATTGTTTGCATACCTTGATGTGAGTAGAGTGTTGCATTCATGGATTTGGCAAACTACTACTGAAAATATGAGAAAGGGTTTAGTGATGTTTAGTTTAGTTTAGCAAAGTCTTTGAACCAATTGATGAAGTTGGATCTTGAGTGGCAATGAACTAGAGAGAGTTTTTTGTTGAGCTCAAGATCAAGTTGGTAGTCCCTCCCATCTTGAGAATATTCGTCAGAGGTCGTCAATACCAGTTGCACACTAATTGGAATATGTTGGAACTTGGAGCAATGTTGACGCAACGTGATGATAAGAATAAGGAGTTTTTTGTTGCGCATGCTAGTCGTTCAAACAATGCAGCAGAATTGCGGTTTAGTTTGTACGAAGTACAATGTTTGGCAGTGGTGTGGCCTATGGCTATAAATCTGTGTAATGGAATTTTGTGCGTACTACGTTGTATAATATTGTATAATGTAATATAATATCAAATTTATTATACAACATTCATTTCGAGCGGGCGGGGACGACAAGCTAAAATTCAAGAGACCAACCGTCATGTGCAGACTACTTGAGCTCTATGTCTTTGAAGTGAGAACGATAGCTTTTCCATTAACTTTGCCGTCGGCGGCGAAGTTAATGGCTTACTTTTTATTATACAATATACAATGGTTTGAGAGTGTTGTATAATACATCAATATAATACCACGTGTATAATATCACAATTATACATGCACATCCATATTTGTAGCACACTTCATGTGTTATTTGTTTGGTACATAGTTTACCCTTGATATCACCAGATGCTCAAATGATTGATGTAGTACAACAAGCTCACGGGGAAGCTTGCACGGTGTACTCTCATATTACATGAGTACGACTTTCAGATGATGCATAGACCTGGAGTTGCAAACCTTGATGTCGATGGTTTGAATCAAAATCTATTCACTAGCCAAAATTATGACATTGGAGCTAGATGGCATGGTGAGGTTGATGAGAAGATGGTGTCTAGTTAACATGCAACCGACTTCTAATGTTTGTTCCATGGAGATTCTAGTAGGGAGTATCACTTGGCATTTTACCTTATTCAAAAAGTTGATGCTCAATCTTCAGATCTTGAGTTTAAAGATGGTGGTATGGATCAGCGTGATATTCACGATGATGCATTTTTATTGGAGTTCATATATACTAATATGATGTCAAGTATAGTGAGTGTCAAGGAGCGAAATCGTATTCTCTAGCGGACGAAGAGATATAGGTTGGAGGGAGCAAAGGTTCTCCGATTGTGGATGATGATAGTGTACGAATAGTACCGCTTCCAACTTAGAGAGCGCGCATGTCGCATGATGCGCGCTCTCTGAGTTGGGATATTTCGGAGGGAAGCGCACATATAACTTATTTCTTGGTCAATATTGATGGTGTGGAATGCATACTCAGTTACAACAGTTGATATCGAGTTGCATGGTTAGTGATCGAGTGATGACATCGTTCAAAGCCCAACACTAGAGTTACATCCTTGCCTATCATGGAGTTGGGTTACCATTTGAGTTTGAACTTTGTTGTACTATTAACTTTGACTGTACGACATCATCGATATGTGTTGATGATGGTGGAGCATTTCTCCAAATAAATTGACTTGGTGGCATTATCTGACAAGACGAGTGAGATAACAGCGTATGATTTTCTTGACAGTGTTTTTAATCACTTTGGTGCACTAGCTAAGATGTTTTGTTTGACAAGACACTGATTTAACATCACACTCGTATCGAGGTATGGGGTAGGTGTTTAGAGCTGAAGGACCTTTATATCACTTTTTAATCTTTTAATCGACGGGAATAAGTGACTTGATGTTATTCAATAGATTTGATTTTACATGATGGGATAACTTTATATCACTTTTTAATTCACGGCTTGCAATTCCACCGTCAATGATGTTCCAACAGTATCGGGGGCTATTTCGAGTAGAACATGAAGTTGCTCTTTGAATGATGTTCCAATAATATCTGGGGCTATTTCGAGTAGAACATGAAGTCCCGGCAAACCATGTCCAGAGTAATTCAAACTCATGGTGCCTGTTCTTTTCTTACACATGGCTACGAACGAGTCGCCAAAATAGTCTGGCACAGTGTCATACACTCTATAGAGCAGCTCAGTAGTTTATAAAAAAATGGGTTAAGAGAGTCGAATAGAATCCACAGGGTAAAAAGAAACCTGTTGGATTCCTGTCCGTTCAAGGCGGTTGATTTTCCAAGGGTTCCCGTCAAGTCATTTCCTACTAGTACGAGAGAAGTCCATGTGAAAGTCTTTTTGGACTACCATTGCACTCAATCGTGGGCGATCGACTACAGATAATTATGCCTTCTTGTAGCTGAGATGGCTTTTGGGGATTACCTTTGCAGCTTTACTAAAGCTCAAGAACAGGTATGGATCTTAAGCTAGGATGTTAAACTTGCATCGCACAGTCCATCCATAACTAGTCATCACCGTAGTGGCATCAGTTATAAGCCCAGTTAAATCTACGTTGTAATATATTATGTAGCGTCAGTGTTATACTTTTCGAAAATTCGAGACACACTTTTGAGGTTTTCTGGGCGCAAAATTCAGTACTGAAATTTTCTCGTTGACATCACAAATATTTTCGAGTGCAGATTGCCATGCTCAGACAATACTCACAAAAACTACTTGAAATTGGTCCAACTGGTTCAAACCGTTTTGCATATTTTCATCCAAGTTCTGATAGGCACCATCCTCCCGGCGCTCTTTCTCTTCTTTAGTTTCGAATTCAATTCAGAATATAGAATTTGGTTCTCGTGAGAAAGAGTACATTCGACTGACACCCTTCATAATCAATCTGACGTGTAGCTTGTTTTCTTCACTCTGCCATGAAACTATGAAACCGATGCGATCGTTACAAGCTGCAATTTCAGGTTGATTTCTTCAGAAGAGATAAAATACGCGGAACGGCGACCTCTAAATTGTTAGACCACAAGCCAAAGGTGAACCACACCTCGGAAGAGACCGTACACTCGTATATGCTCCTAATATTTTACTTCACGAAAAGGAAAAATAAATTAGCGTTTAACCTTAACATCTTCAGTGTACTATAACTACATACAATAGTCAGAAAAAACACACGCATAAATGGAGCCTGCAAAGGTAGAGCTTGATCCCCGCCTCTACCGTGGACCAGTCCACCTGATACATTCAATCATACTTCGTTTGCCGCAATTCAATACTTCAGCTCTGCTGTACTAAAGTGCGCTGAAGATGTAAGAGACACAAAAAATAATCACCCATTAGCTTTCATCGCAAACTCCACTCCTCACAGATCATTCTCGCTCCTTGTTTAAAATCATTCATCTGTTTGCTGGAACACCATAACACTGACACAAGACTTGAAAGTCTCGAAGCCTTGAAGAAGAAAGATCCGAGCTGCCATCCACCCGAGGCCCCAAGGAGAAAGAGAGAGAAAGAAATTCCCACTTTGAAACAAACAGATGCTACATCAACAAATGCCAAAAATTTACCTCAAAAATGCATGAATCTATAAAGATTCTATCTGTGCGATTATGACAAAGTAATTGGACGCTCAAAATGAACTTACAGGTAGATCTGCAGTTTTGAGATAACTCTTTTCCCACAAAGTAATCTGTCTTAGACTTCAGTCAGGAACTGTTGACAACGCTTCTCATGATCACGCCAAAAGTCAGTGCGAATAAAAGTTGAATAGAGATTCAAAATTGCTGACGCTATATGCAAGACGGGTGATACTGCAAGCTTGAGAGACACCAGCGATGACTGACCTGTAAAAAGTTCTTTAGTACAGAGCAATTGAGAGCAACTCTGTAAGGAAAAACTTTCGGTCGAAAGAAGAAGATTAGTTAAACAAGATCACTCGTGATTCCTTAACGCTGCGTTCTTGCGGGTGTCGGTAGAGATTCACGAAGTGAGAGCCGGCCAGACATGCAAAAATTCAGTTGAGAACTCAATTCGTTTTACAAAACTGAAGACGAGGAAAAGACAGGAAGACAGGACCAATATCTCATGTTTTGACCAGATTTTCAATCATGCTGACCGATTGTAATTCAATCCTCACAGTCGAGACACTCCACAACAATTGAGAAACATGATAGAGGTAGATATTTCTTAGTACGCCTGTTACAGCTAAACACAGGAAGTCACAAGAAAACATTCACAACCACTGAAATGCTAGGTCTGAGAAACTTCAGCTTCAGTGACCGGGAGTATTAAACTTTCTCACAAAATGACCCGTACCCGTGCTCAAGGATTGCTCTGGTGATAGTTGCACTGCTCATCCTATCGCTTGCTTAGCTGCTAGAAGAATACATTGGCACACAGCTTACAAGAAAGAACATCTCCCGTATCAACCATAAGCTGGGTGGCCTTGAGAGTTTCCGAAAGCATAACCTCCGCCATTATCATATCCTTGATTCCCGTAATTTTTGCTCGATTCATAACCCTGCTGTTTCCTACTATATGAATGGGAGACATTATTACTATATGGCATACCTCCGTCCTTGTAAGAATCATACATTCCCATGTGTCCCTGTACATTTTCTGGTGATGCAGAGTTGGCACCGCGGTCGAAACTATTTCCGTTATATGGGCCTCCGCGTGACGAGGGAACAGTTCCACCACCTCCACCGTAATACATTCCATACCCAGTTTGCTGCTGGTACTGCTGGTGACGAATTTGTAATTCATGACGCAAGAAATCTTCACGCTGCTTGGTATGCTTCGACCTCAATATTGTCATTTTCTGCTGATATTGTTCATGAATTTCATTCATACGCTGAAAGACAGTATCATATTCGTATCAGCGCGTCTCCATTGACTGGTTACGATACGGACACAGCCGAGTAGCTAAAGTGTTCAAAACTGATAGGCAAAACTTCTACAGGGACAATACATCCCTCTCTTCTGCATGCAAAGCACGTTTCTATGGACATAGTTCCAAACCAAAAGTTACTTCATCCTACAGAAAAATGTAAGTTACTAGGTGAATCTGCAATGACACTCGGTACAGAGGAGAATTATCTGAAATTTCAAGAACCAGACCCTAACAACAGTGGGTGCCTACGAAGCAAGGCAATCGTCAATGATGTAACCCACTACGGTGGCACTATTGAATATGATATCTATTTGAAGTAAATACAAATCAATAGTTACACTAGTACAGTAAGATTCCCTTGACCTCATCAAACAAGCTTATTCGTTGCATATGGTATACTGGTTGTATGGCATACAGAACAGACAGTCAAACGTTTGTGCGTTGGCCAGTTTGTCAGTGTGTCATAACGCACCTTCAGGGAAAACAGATTTACTGAAATAAGAAGACGGTAGACAGAGTAAACGTATCGAACATCAAGCTATGGCATAAGGAAAAAGATGATCGAAGTAGATACATAGTGCAACTTCAAAGTAACATTCAGAGTCAGCAGCATGTTAAGAAGCTGATCATATAATCACTGAAGCCAAGCGAAATCGAGTCACGAAGGACTGAATACAGCAGAAAAGTGGCTACGTTCAAGGTCAATATAATAGGAAAAAGATTTTGAATTGACAGTCGTCACTTACAGCAGGAAGAAAGTATCAAGAAATTCTTGCTATTTGATGAAAGGGAGGTTCTAGACTTTGAAACCCCTTAACGCTCAACCTACATTATCGACATATCTATGCGCACACTACTCCAAGAACCTTACACAATTAGAATAACAAGTCATAAACCGCACGAGCTTAACACAAAAGGAGATCGAAAAGCGCCAGGCATGAGGTACACACATCGAGATTAAGACAGAGGACGGATGAGGGCAAGAAGTTCACAGAGAAAAGATTATTAGGCAGAAGCAAAAAGAGGGGATGACACCTAGGAAAAAGCAAAGAATAAAAGCCGAGAGACACGGACAGATTTTGAAGATTCCATCAGCAGAGAGGAAGAAAGAGATACGAACTATACATGTTTCTTGGTAAAATTCTAGCTTGCATCGATCATACTGTCAAATTCAGGGCCTGAAGAGTTCAAAACACCGAACATTTTATTTTCTTATTATTTAGATGGTTCAACGGAAAGTAACCTCACAATCAGAGAAAGTGTTCAATAAATACGACAAGGTGTTCAAAGAAAATGAGAACTAATGACTATATACTTCAATGTGGATGTTTGAAAATTCATAGTAAATGACCTAGAAATAGATGAAGAAATAGATGAATGACCTAGAACTAACGCACGTCACATTGACGTATCAGTATATAAGAACATGTTTCACGGTTTTTCTGCAAACGAAAGGGACTCTGTAATACATTACACCAAAAATTTCTGCATGGGTACGAGAATTTTCTTGAAAACCCGAGAGCATTTCCCGTTATTTATTACTCGGAAACGAGAACCCATACAGACAGAATCCTCCAGACCAAACTGAAATTCTCAGCTAGAGACAGCTCGTGGCGAAGGGGTTCATCACAATATTCGCTAGTCTTTGCGCGCTTCCAGAGACAACTGTACCCAAAAACTAGGAAATAGTGTTGTAGCACCAACACAATGTAGAATAAGTAAAAGACTCCATTGTCCTCAACAATCTCACAGTTAAGTTCAGACAATCAGAATTAAAACCTTCTGGACAGCTCTCTCAGGCAAAGGGCTTCAGTGTAATTGACCTATTTACCGAATAAAACTTCCGCTCTAAGACAGACTAAAGAAGAATATTCATTCTTCGGTTAGACGAAGGGAAGGGAGGGAGACAGGAAGTACACTAAATGTTGAGGTGAATAGTGACACGATTCAAAACCAGTGAAAGCAGAAGTGAGAAGGTAATTTCAGAGTTAACATCTACTGCTGAAGTCCAACTCCTCGATAAGAGAAGAGTTTGCACTTAACATCAGTGTATAAAGCACTACGCATGGTTGTATCTCCGATAGATAGCACGTGTTGTCAAAAACTTCATACACTGAATATAATGCAGCGAGTTACTAGCAATGTTATTAAGAAGTGCAAGCGCAATATTTCAAAAGTAAATGACAAGCACTTCTTGGAAGAAAAACTGCAAGCTCCAATATACTAGCCTTGAACCTATCCAGGTCCGACTGTGATTAGTGGTTGGTCATCAGACAATATCCACAGGACGTTTCCACAACTCAGTCTAAGATACAAGACATCCGCTGAGATTTCCAGTGAAGTTATGCGAAAAATCACACTGAACTACCTTTCAATGGAGACCAATAACTACAGGGTTTAGGTGTACCTCTCGATGTTTCGCTTTTTCTTTATCCTCTTCTACATTTTGGTCCTTGGTCAGCTCCATTGTTTCTTGCAAGAACCGTTGTTCCAGTTCTTCCAGAGTTTGAGCATGCAATCCCTTCTCCTCATACCCTCCATCCAGATCTTGCTCGTGCTCTGGTAAACTCCCCCCTCCACTCTGATATGGTCCGTTGTCCATATTCTTATTGTGATAGTAACCCCCCTCGGATCCCGAGCCTTTTCCACTATACGAGGATAAGCTTCCACCTCCAGAGGCACCCCGACCTTGAACGTCAAAAACCAGGAAAATAAGCCGCAGCCAAACATCATTGAAAGGCAACATAAATGAAAAGATTCTCTAATCACTATCGACCGAGTCAACGAAAAAATGTATAACAAGCCCTCGTAAACCCTCTTCAGCGCTTACGTCCTCGCATTTAGAAGGGAAAATGAACAAGCGCATCAAAGGTCACCTGCCATAGGAGTCAGTCCCAGTTGTCAGGCTAGTCCTCCAATTTACACTGGTATGAAACCTTGCACTCACCATCTTTATATGAGAATGGTGGTGAAGCACCGGATCCATTCAAATTTTGAGTAGAGCCCGAAACAGCTTCCCACTGTCGACGAGCCTCTAACTGCGAAGCAATATGTTCAATCGTACGCTTGTCTTCATCCATTGGTGGAGGAGGTCCCAAAGGACCCAGATTTGGCGCAGCATGTTGTAGTCTTTGTACAGCTATGTGTTGCATTTGAGCTGCAATGAGAGGATTAACATTTGATCCCCGATAAGAACCGCCTCCCCCGCCTCCACCGCCATGTGGCCTCCTCATTGGTGGTGGCGGTGGTTGTTTCCACTCATCCTCAACTTGCTCTACCAGCTTGTTAACAACCTCCACTGCTTTTATGACAGTGATTCTGTCAGGACCTGAGATGCGTACATAAAAAGCACCATTTCCTGTAGCAAGGTTGTCTTCAAGCTTCAAGCGACATCCGGTATCTTTTTCGATTCCCTGTATGACAGCACCACCTGTACCAATAATTCGTGGTTTCAAGCGCTTATCCCTAAGTGGGATTCTTTCAATTACTTCCCCTGGTTTCCGGTTACCTCCCAGTGTGGTTGGACAGCCCTGTACACAGATCAACATCAACTGCAGTCAGCCAAACAGACCGTGCCCAATTTGCACCAAGAGAAAGCTTGTTGGTCAAATATCACGAGTCAAGGATGGATATCCCTCTGTCCTTCCACTCACTAGCAACCCCACGGTCATTTGACACAAAGCCCGCTCTTAGAAAACAAAATCTTTCATAAGAACGACCAAAACATCACCCAACACCCTCGGTCCAAGCAACTTTCTCTCTATAAGCTCCTAAGGTCCCTACTCCCACTGAAGGCACTCTCCAAACTTCAATCTACATCTCTTCTCAATCCGCAATCAGTTTCCGCTAAGATGAACTTAAGAAACGAAATTGGCCAGATCCAACTGGTAACTGACTGGACGATTCAGAAAGATGACTCGAGCACCGCCATTGACCTAGGACCAGAGCATGATAACGTACAAGGTAAATTCCTCACTTACTAGCAAGTTTACCATCCACATCGAGCTTTGTCAGGATGGCAAGTAAACGTGTGCACCATACCACCTGAGCAATTTCGAACCTCAAGGCGCATTGCCATCAGGTCCAGACATAACTTGTGCAAAGTATTTCATTACATTTAGCGTCAATTATTGTCACCTTTATTCTTACTTCGACCGATAGGGAGGGAGGATAGTGCACAAGTTAAGCTTCACCAACTCCTGAGAGCCAACCAAGCTTCTCAAACAGTATTGCCCGGAGACATCTTTTGGAACAACTAACAAAAGGAAGAGTGTGGATTTCAATGCAAAAGTATAACCTAAACAGCAGCATAAGTAGTTTCAAGAGTCAATAACATCCACAATTTTGTTATATTTCATCGGCATGAGCAAGTACTAATTGGGTGACGATCGTATCTCACAGGCACAAAAACATCACCCTCAGCCTGACCCAACAATCAACCAGCCCACCCAGGCTCTTTCGTCGATGAGACCAGCTGGAGTTACTTCCGATCAACGTCCACCAAAAGGATCTCAAAGAAAACACCTCTTTGACTAGATTAACTACAGTTTCTCACTTTCATCGGAAATGGTGACCGTTTCCTTGAGTCAGGCTTGTGTCATGTATATGTCATAGGTAGTAAAATGTGAGGATACTTCTATCCTGTTAGGAGAACTAAGTCTAAAGGCTGCGGGCCGTGAATACTTCACACCTCCTAAGTCTGCGAGGAACTGACCATGGATACAGAACAAGGTTCTCAGAGTTAGATCTCCCAAATTTGGTCCAAAGCTCAGAGAAAGCTCCACACCATCTGTAGGAAGATATCTCCATATTACACGCGTCAGTCGAAATCAATTGAGTCCACATCAGATTCCTTGGACGGGCAACTGAACATTTCGACGTCACCTGCGTATGTAGACACCAGTCCCGTTGAACTAGTGTTAACTACGCAGTCCATATCATCCGCGCTCAGCTGCTATTCGTCGACGTTACAAAAGTCCCTTCGAAACTCCGAAGTTTCTGACACTTAAAGAAGTTCAGTTTTCATCCAGCAGAACGCATGCTGCGTAAACATGAGAGGAGATAACAACAACCAGCACCGAATTTCGGCTTTTCAAGCATCATTGTGTTGATCTTGACGAGAACTGCGCGTCCCGCTCATGTTATGTAGATCACGGAAGAGGTTCCTACTGTGTACACTTTCTTGAAAGACGACGATGACCCGCTACATAAAAAGCGTGATGCATTCACCGAAGATTCAAAAGACGAAGAGGCTATTACAGCAAAGTAAGGAATAGTCTACCCAAGTTCACGGGTGTCTTCAGTTACACCAAGTGGCAAAGACATAAATTCTAAGGTCGATGCCAACATGTGCGGATGTTTTGAAGGATGACATGTGTTACAAAGGTAAGCCCGGGGCATATCACGATGATGAAACCCTCGATGAAGACGATATACGTTCAACAAACAGATGTTTGTTAAGTAGCGGGTTTGTATACTGTAACAGTAATTTTGAATAGAACTTGGACCCTGTCACCACTCGTGAATAGAGAACTCGCACTTGGGCTTATAATCTGATATTGAGACTCTTCAAATGTTGCTTTTACATAAGATCGATGGCACATCCTCCATATGGCCATCAAAGGAAAGTGATAGTCCTGGATAATATCCTCTATGTCAAATAACCCAGATGACCCAAGTGAGAATATGTCAAAGAACCCAGTTGCTAAGGCTATCTCACAAGGAAGACAGTTATAATTGCAGACAGGCAACCAAAGGTCTGTCGCAACACAACCAAACCATGATGTGGCTCCTCGCTTACGATAAGCCAACGTCTTGAATAACATGAAGAGTTGAACTACTCGAAAGGTTCGGGAATATCGTCCCCACTAAGTGCAGGTTATCCTTCTCCAGATGTTCAAGTAGTTACTAGCCAGCTTCATACTGATTGAAAAGGTCAAAGGGCTCTACGAATAAGTAGAGGAGACTGTAAAGCCCCGTATACCACCTCAAACAGCTACTCCGTAACCCTTAGGAATGGGTGGTGGGCAACAAAGGGTGCGCAAGACCAAGTTACCTGAAGCATTCACATACCTGGGCAAAATGGCCAACCTCGCCACAGATACGACAAGTGAGCTCCTCTTCCTTCCTGCGCTTCCAATTTCTTTCTACAGCCTTGGCCTTGGCCTCCCATACTTTGGCTTCTCTACTGGTGAAGTCAGTGGGCACAGCATTGGGATCACGAGGCTCATCCTCCTCATCTGATCCATCACCTGCATGGTCCACACTTGCATTTGCGCCAGGTCGTTTTTTCACCTTGCTGTCATCACGTGGATTGTCACGAGAAGGTCTAGGCGGGCCTGTATACTCCCTTCCATAGACCTCCTTAAACCATTCCTCATCTCTGTCATCATCCTGTGAATCGGCCATCGATAAGAATTATGATACCTTTTCTCTTAAGGTTGGTGAAACATTTGGTCCCGCTTCTGCTGGTGTAGGGCGCTCCTCAAATTCACCGAAGCATGGAACCAGCACTCATCTCATCCTCCCATTCTGATAGAAACACCACTCCAGACGAATAAGAGTTCCTTCCTTACCGGAAACAAGACAACAATTCATTTCCTTATTCACCAGATTGCTTTTCCAACCCCTTCGACTCCCAATTCTTAACGGGTATGAGTTGATGTGAAAATCCAGGAGGGAACCTAACTGGCAGACACTAGATTTCATGACTTCATTAACAGGTTCATCTTTTGATTATCATGGTTCTTGAGTTGGTGCCAACCTTATCAGTGAGACTACCCATCTACTTCAAATCACCAGAACTTCAAATCAACAGGAGGGGCAGCTCAAGTAAGTGCTTATATGAGCAGTGTCATCAGAGAGAACGACAATAAACAAAGAGACAGTGATTGCAAATATGGCAATCAAAATTACTGATCTAACTTGCGAAATTCAGTAAGAACATGCGTGCATACACAAGAGTGCACTGCTGTCAGACAGTAACAACAAATATTACTGAACTGTATCAGAGAAAAGATCCAACGTCAGCAAATACTGGGTTGAACACACTGCCCGGCAACTTACTGGGTAGACGGTGCTCCTCTACGCTGACTTAGCAGCAGAAGTTTCAAAAGTGTAAGAAACGGCGAAATGGTCGCAACCTTGAAGGTTTTTGCGGGACAAGGCCAAAAAGCGGGCAATTGGCAGGATTTGAGAAATGCGCCTCCTGTAGATGGAGGATGAGAAAGTACTGTGATAGAAAGAACAAAAACTAGTCATTACCCAGGGCCATGGAAGAAAAATCAACTGCTAAAACTCGGCAAAGTACTTTAAAAAAAGGAACACGCACGAAAAATTGTAGCGCACAATCTGCCAACACAGTAACAAAACCTAGTCGATAATCCATATCACTCAGATATAAACAGCGAATCGCAATTCTGCACTGCCAGCTCCGACCCTAAGCCTCCAAATAAAAAAGTGTACGCCAGTTTCCTCAAATTCAATCAAAATCCATGCCAAGAACTGCTGGAGCAGAGAAATCACCTCATCAACATCATTTGCTAAAACAGCTCGCAGCAGGAAGTGGCCCAAGGCCGGGTAAATATTACGCGCCTTCGCTGCCCACTCAGCACTGTTACACTGGGATCAACCGAACCTCTACCCGCCACCTGCAACCTTCGTCTCGGCGCGACACTCCTGCCCTCCGCGTCGACTTCTCCTCGTGAACCACTACGACTTCACAGACCACCTCCACACTGTCCACACCTCATCCACTCTAACCTCCTACACTGGCTGAATTTCTCAACAACAGCAATACCTAACACAACCTGTTCTTTGTACAAACCGCTCAAACTCAGACCACCCACAAGAAGGCACTACGCGCAGTGCCGGCTCGCCAAGGTCTCGGTGAGCGCAATCGACCATTTTCAAGGCACAATTTGTTGCCACTATGCTACATGCGCATTCCGCTCACATTCTCAAGGTCACGCTCTCGAGCCCTTCCTTCTCTCTCTCTCTCTCTCTCTCGCTCGCTCGGCCCATCCCGTCGCCTTCCTCGTTCTCGGTCGCTGTCTCGCTCGCCTGCTCTTTCGCCAATTTCCCATACGCTCGTCCCGTACGCCATATTTTGCCTGCCGCTCGCTAAAAGAACATCCCTGTGCCCAATCGTCGCGGCCGAAATATCTGACACAAGAACCGACGAACCATCGCTCTCCGTCGCGATCAATTACTCTTTTGGATATAGTCCCGCCAGTACTCCTGCCCCGTACGCCGTTAGCTCGCTCGCTCACTCGGTGAGATGGGTCCGGTCCGACCGTCAGTCGAGCAAACGCAACCTTCTTGGGCGGGTAACCACTGTACAGCACCGTATCTCCGCTCGGTTCTCGTGTACTGTACTCTCCTGTACAGTACTGCCCATCGCAGCGACTTGACGCGCACAGAAGCGAAAGCCAGGAAAGCCTTCCTGGACGCTGGGACCCGGCGGCCATTTTAAACCCATTTTTAGCCTCTGCTGCAGAGCGGCATAATGTCTAAATCCAACAGTTACTGTACAGTTGATGCGGAATGTCTTGATGCTGAAGTTTTATAGCGGCTCGCACCCCGGCCCCCAACGCGCCCTCCGATTGGGTCCGCTAATTTCAGCATGCGAACTACCAAAATATCTGGGAATTTTACAGACTCTTACACTTGTCATCATCAATCCGTTCTGCCTTCGCGAGGACAATAGAAAACACTTGTCGCTGTGCTCGTGATCCTGATTTCTGATAGGGGGACTTCGTCCTCAGAATCCCAGAGCAGTCTGACTCTGACTCCCGGCTCTGGCTGCTACTGTACTATGTCTTTTGGTCATCTTCATCACCTCTCCTCTTTTCTTCTTGGTGAAAATCAGGAGCAGTCGAGTCAGAAACCCGGATTGATGGTGTCTGGATTCTCCTCACCAGCATGGGTTTTCGGCTTGGAATTGACATGGACAAGCAGAGAGTCAACCGTGACCCAGTAGTTGCTTTCTGCAACCATCTCAGGGCGGGAGGCATGCGATTGTGCAGGTTGGCGCTTTGCCGTGAGAATGGTCAGTGGCGACTACTCACCTCGCTTTCACATCTACCAGTCATACAGTCCTTAAGATCCGTTTAATCATCGTCTTGAAATGTTTCCGATTTCATACGCATCAACCGCGCTTGTTTACTGACGTAGGAGACATTATTCTCTTAAGAACATATATGTTAATTTTGTCATTTCTTTTGGTCAATCCTTAGGTGATGCATAGGGCAATTACATTATTGTAGCAATCCACTTACATAACACATGGATGCCTTCAATGCCTTCAACACTGCCTTCTGCAATCAAGAAGGTACAGCCTTGCGATTCTGGCTTTTGTAGCTAACTTCAAGTGATTACCTTACAAAGTTTTACATTATAGTACAGTTCATAGATTAACATGAGAAAATTAACCACCGTGTAATCAAGAATGTGTAAACTTAAATTGAAAACTCGAGAAATTGCTTGATTGCATAAGAAAGCTCTATTTCTTGACAATCTAAATTTCAGTTTTATCAAGACGTCGTCATCAAAACTGCTTGGAAGGACAATGATTAGTCGTGTTAAGGGTTGGAAGAATTATGTAAACACTGTTTATTATCGAGACTATTATCCGTTCCTCCATTAGCATAATGCATTTCTCGATATATTTCCTTGCGAAGATGGTAGAGATTTTAATCTTGCTTTTACTTACATTTACTCTTGTTTCCATCCACATCCATCTGCCTTGAGAAAATTCCGAGACCGGTAAATACAAGCAGCTCGCGTAATGGGTTGCATCGTTACACAAAGTAATTACAAACACAGAGTGTACGTCATAATATATTCAACAAGCATACAAAGTCAATATCTAAAGCAATCAATTCTAAATCAAATTTAGAACTCAGAAAAACTAAAATTTAACTCGTAAATCATCCAAAATTCTTGATTCTTCACATTCTAAAATTTGCAAATCTTGTAAGAATAGGTAAGATCATAATTCAATAATGGGCTTGTAAAGGTATGAGAGATGATTTAAAAGCTCAAGGGCGAAGTACGTAAAAACTACAAGAATATTTATTGATTTATGCTACTATTCCAATTGATTAGAGAAAGAAACATGATTTAATGTAATCTAGTACGAAGTATTAAATTTTAAATCACTATTTTTAAACACTTCAAATCTAGAGATTAGTCACAAATTTTCAAAAAACAATATTTCTGATCTGATAATAAATGGTGTTATTTACATTGAAAATTCATCCCAGCATTTGAAATTCATGAAGAGAAGTATGATTCAAAACTTTCTTAAACATTGTTTACTTTATAATTCAATATCTATTATTTTTATCAATTAAAATTAACTCACTTGAATTATTAATTTTTAAAAATAATAATATTAATAAATATTATTTCTATTTATTAAACCATATTCATTTATTTCTAAAAACCTATACAGCGTAAAAAAATTTATGATTAAAAATATAAATATCGAAGATATATATATATATATATATATATATTATTTATAAGATAATCACTATACATTAAGCGTGTGCAAAATTAATCTAAAATTTTTCAAATATGAATTTTTTAAAATTTTTAAAATTTATAATATATTTTTGGTGCATAATCGGTTGAAAAACTTAGATTATCTTACAGAATAAAAAATTAAAAAATACAGAGGTCTAAAGTCATTAGTCATCCAATGACTTCTAAACAGATTATACTTCCTCGACTTATTTACTAAGTCATCAAATGTATATTCATCACAATTTTATAAAATATTTAAACTCTTTATGGTGAACAAAATATTGTGGTAAATATCACCATATATCATAAGTTAAAATGTATCTTATGTAGATCAGATATAAAAATGACTGTGATATCATACTTGGATTCTAAATTTGAATTTTTTGGTAAAAATAAATAAATAATGAAGGATTGTTTTGATTCAAACAAAAGTAATATGAAATGAATAAGAATTATGATACAGATCTATCAGTTTAATTAATAGTGGAGCAAGACTCAATAAACAACCATGGATATGTTATTATATAACAAATCTCTTCAATCCTTTTAGTATTATGCATTTATTATTATTGAATAAATTTATATAAACATCATATTGTCAGTTAGATTCATTTCATATAATAATGAATAGAATTTGAATTAAGTTTTATTAAAAACTAAAATACAATTATATTCTTTATCTTCGTGTACGGCAATAATTCTTTTGATACTGATCAACATATTTGTAAACATCACACCATGTTACAAAAAGTTGACTAAAATTTCCAACTTTTTAAGAGATCAGGCTTTTCCTCAAAAAAGTACTTGCTCCATATCGGAGAGTTTCTATATCTCGTTAGTTGTGCAATATTTCATTTGTTTACAATAGTAATAATGAAGTTAGAAACTCTAATTTGGATCACTAGAACAAGGTTTCTGAGACCCGGTGGAGAAGTTGGGAGTACCACCAACGTGTCGGATTAACTGCTAGCTAGTTGAAGGGTTGCAGGAAACATATGTTGGAATCAAAGGTTGGGTTGTTAGCAGGAAAGGTGTATTCGAGCAATCAGCAAAGAAACATGAATTATTGCTTATGGTATGAATACATTATGTTACAGAATCAATGAACAGTTAAGCATAAAGTTCTTATATCTTGTCGTCAATCACAAACTTTGGACGAAGAGGAGAGAGCTCATAACAATTAACAGTTGAAAAAAAGTGGAACACAACAACTGTCAGGGTGTACTGAAGATGGACACGTGATCTATCAAGGAGCTGGCGAATTATAACTTCTTGCAGCGCTGCAAAAATCTCGAGAGTTATGATTGGCTGACTGCCCGTCAACATTCAAACCAATTATGGAAACCCGATTTTCATGAAACCCAGGTTACTGGATCTACTCCCCCGTACGTTTCTCATGCTTTGCCCCTAATTTCCTCAATAGGAGCATAGGATAAAATACAACCCCTTTCGACACCATGGACAAAACTTGAAGCTCAAAAGTTCCACGTTCGAACATACTGGAATCCAGTAACATTTAACATCATCGAGATTCTATTTGGCTTCATTCCACTCATACATATTCCTTCTTCACATCCCAACGAGATATTCCGTTCATGCATCATATGTTTATATAACTTGTTGAAAATCGGAATCCCTTTCATGATGTTTGTTGTGATGTAGAGGATAAATACATGAAAGGAGTGATCATTGTGCCGTACGCATATTTGGTATTTATTACTCAATAAGTATCAATTTATTTTTGCAGTCATTTAAATTGTAGTTCCTATCGTTGCAAGGTTTTGTTATGGGGACAAATGAAAAGACATCAACCAATGTCTCTAATTATGTAAATATGCAAAAGATTTATGACTTCATTTGTGTGGATGTTGAGTAATATAGAGCTATGAAAAACTAATGCCACAAATCGATGAGAGATTGATCAACAATCCACGATATTATGTGAAATCACACTCTTTAACTTTGTTGTATAATATATTTTACTTGTTGTGTTTTCCATTTACCATTTATATTGCTCTATATATCACATAAGATCATACACCATGCAATACATGACCGAGCAACTATATTGTTATAAAGATAACATGTCACATGTAAATGATGTTATCAAGAGAATTTAAATAAATCACAGTCAATAAGACACAAATTGGCTGAGATGAATACCAGGTTTTCTTTCAAATTACTTCAATGACATTTTATTGTGTGTTGCACGGTGCATGATATTCATACTTCTTGTACACTAATGATCAGTAAATTGAATCACATATATTATTATTTTCCATAAAATCCATAAGCATGAACTAAGGTTTGACAGCATTACAATGATAACTAGTGGTACAAAATCTTATATATATATATATATATATATTATTTTGATAAAAAATCTACAGATATATTTAGAATGAAATATTTATGATTTATATCATTTTTAAATTCTTTCTTTATACATGAAAATAGTTAATCAAAATATGAATAATGAAATATTATGATAGTTTCTTGCACATTTGTTCACTTATATTAAAATGTTTGTTGTCAAAAGCTCTACAAAACTTCAAGATACATTTTAGTTGATCTTAACAGATATATAGAATGGTAAGAATCAAAAAGAGAAGAAAAAATCTAAACATAGTATGTTGACCAAAAGCTTTAGCATTCTTGGAATCTCAATATATTTCAGATTTTGAGGAGTTAAAAAAATTAAATGCAAAGGATCAAGTATAAGAGTTTGTCAATAAAAGCTATAAGTCTGCTCAAAGATAGGGACAAGAGAGAAGTCTTAATACCATGATGTGATGATTCTAACTTAAAGAATGACATTATGACTTATAAAAAAATACTCAAGGATTTTAAATTATCATTTTTTCACTCCCAAAAAGCTCGCCGGAACTTATTATCTATTAAGTATATCGTCCTTGCATTTGTTGAAGATACGTTAACGTCTGCAAAGTAGTAGGATGTCTTGATACTCTAGTTCAACAATTGCTCTTTACGTCTATTTAATTCTGTTCGGTTTAGTTACCAGCCATCCTCTGTATACAACATTGCTCTTCCTTAACCTGATGACTTGACGGACAATCTCATGGGTACATATGACCCTTAAAGAATGTTTCTGATAATGATATCATACTGCGGTGGTGGTGTCATCATAAGTTGCGAGACCAGCTGTCCGATAGAGACAAAATGGAGTATTTTCGACGCCCTATCTGTTGCTGTTCTGCATTTTCTCGAGCTGCAGAGTTGTTATCGAAAATCGCGGGCACTCACATGCGCACTATAATTATTTATTTCTCTGACATCGCAGAAGGATTTCTGGAAGTATTATCTGATTTCAAATCGCGGCGTATCTGTCAAGAGACCACATGCAGCTGAATCAATCAACCCTCGTTGGCCTCTCGCCGTGTTCCACCAATAGTTCATAACTGATCCATAAAAACCATCTACTAGGAAGGAATGATTCCTACAATCCACTTTCCATGCCAAACTTTTCAAAGAACCCACTTTTCAAAGTCTTTTGGATATATAATATATAGGTAAATAGCTGAGCAAAAGTTGTCGAACTTTGTGAGGCTATGCTTCTTTAGTGTTAAATCTTTGTTGGTGTCCAATGGGTGTATATTTATAACTTTTGTATGATCCACATATTTTCTCTAATATGCATTCTCTGAACTGAAGATATAGACTTTTAAGAACTAGGGTAAGATGCAAAGTTATTTCGATATATATATATATATATATATATATTCTATGCTTCTGGATATATTAGTATTGGATTATTATTGCATTAGTGTATTATAGCCAGAAATTACGATAACTCATAAGAGTAATAAGGTCTCCAGAATCCTTGCTCATATAATTTTTTGATGAAAAGCATTATTTAAAGATTTCAAATGCCCAGTGACTCAACACTTGACGTTTGGACGAAGTTCACGGTATTTCTGGATGCACTTCAAGATACTTTGTCAATTTTTGTTGTGTTCATGCTAAAATGCCTTGTGTAGTTTCAACATCAAGTGCTCAGCAGAATTATATTTGTGGAATATAAATTCCACAAGTAGAAGTTTATCTCATTTGTAAAGGAATAAAATGAAAAAATAAACACGAACGAGCTTAACGGCAGTACAGTACTGTAAAGCATAATTGGTGGGTAAACCTCATTATTCCGATCATAAGCTTGTCCATATTTTAAGTTCGGATATCGAAAGGAGCGGCTAGTTATTATAGTTCGTTTTCGCGGGGAAGGGAAAGAAGTAGAGCACAGGATGGAACCATCGGCCTAGGGTGAATGATAGTGAGCAAAATCTGACTAGAAGTAATGCAGAGCATGGGAGCATCAGCTAGGGTGAGTGATAATTAATCTAAACTAACTAGAATTAGTGCAGAGCATTAGACTAATCTGAATAATAACTAGCACTTCCACATATTGAATGGTACATCAAACCAAGTAATTTGTAAATAGTCAACATCAATGTAAAACTTCAATTTGACAAAATTCTTTATATTTTTCGACTTGTTAAACTGGACTGAGTAGTTTCTTGTTAAGAAATCTCATTTTGAAGATGAACACAAATTTAAACATGACATCATAACATCCGGCATGAAACAACTGCTCCAGGGGAAGAGAAAAAGAGATATCAAAGATAACCATGAAACTGACGTTGAGATAGTTCATACACAAGTATTGCACCACAAAGATGACTTTAGAAGCAGTATCGAATAATTTACTTATATTATTTGATCAAAAAAAGTTCCACATAGGTCGTCCACGCACCACGTGTCGCCATTCACGGATGTAAAGTCTCACTCATCTCGACGTATTTTCACATCGAAATTAACTCCACAAGAATGATAATAATCAATAATAGAAATACTTTTGTTGAGGAAAAAAGAAATCGAAACACTGACTGTCTAGTTGGTATCGAGTCGAAATGTTGGTAGATATGAGCGAGACAGGGTTTTATGAATTAATACTTTAGCACCCCATCGTGTACCCTCGAACACTGTCGGAGTCGCGCGTCCCGAGGAAGAGCCAAGTCCGGGACTCCATGCAGGACCGACCGCAGAAGAGGACGTAACAATAAGAGAGACACCGGCCAGCAGGTGCGTACGGAGCCGGAGGAGAAGGAGGAGGAGGGCGCAGAAGGTTCAGGTAGAAGAGACGAGGAATTCCGACCCTCGTCGTGGAGCGCGTCCGAGTGCCGGATTTGAAAACTCACAAGGAGAGGCGACGAGAAGAGAGGGGGAGGGGGAAAGTGAAAGCGCCGAGAGGCAGCGTTTGCATGCGGCTCGGAGGAGGGGCAGGAGCGCGAGGTCGAGGGCCTCGAAGCTCGAAGGGACGGGGAGAGCTGCCAGGGAGCGATGCGATCGACGAGCAGTGTCCCAAGACGAGGAGCCAGCGGAGCGACTGACTGACAGACGCATTCGCTTCGTCTGAATTTGGTTGAAGGCGCGACGAAGGCCGAGAGGACATGAAGTGCTTCCGAGGCAGAAGAAGATGGGATTTCTGGTCGCGGTCGGCGTAGAAGAAGCCGACGAAGTTGAAGAAAACGAGGAGCGCGAGGAGGAGGTGGTTAAGAAATTTGATCTACGTGAGTGCTCCGTGAATTATAAGTCCGCGAGCGAAGAGTGCGACGGCGGGAGAGGGCGGTGCCGGTGGTTGGCGATTCGGTGAGATGCCTGACGAGTGCTGGGGCTAGTTCGGTGAGGAGTCCGTTTCAGTAGGTCCGAGGCGGGATGGCGCAATCGGGCCTTCCTAGAGGGCGGTCCTGGACTGCCGGAGCGCCGGCAGCAGGTGGATCAGGTGCGGGGGGTGCAGCGTTCGCAGCTTCTTCGCGCTGGCTTCGGAACGAGAGGTACCGCGAGCTCAATCAACTGGAGGAGGAAGCGAAGAGGAATATGAAGGAGATTAAGCTTATGGAGAAGGAGATTCGCGAGCAGGCTGCTAAGTTGGAGATGCTCAAGAAGCTCGATGCCAAGCGGGTGGAAAGGATTTCCGACCTAAGCAGGGTCCTCGAGACGGAGGAGAATGTGGAGGGGAAGAGAAAGGGAGGAGGCGAAGGTGGTGTTGATGTTGATGATGGGAAGCAGCAAGCGAGCGAGGGGTTGCAAGAGCAACTCATGCGTTTGGAGCAAGAACGCGCCAGTATTCTGAGCACGATGGAGCAGACGAAGGTGGCACTGGAGCAGAAGGAGAAGGAATTAGACCGGCTCGCAGGGCATCACAAGGGTCTGTGCGATCAGATTGGGAAGGAGGAAAAAGCGTTGCAAGCAGCAGAATTGGAGGAGTCGCTCCAGCAGAGTGTGGCCGTGCACCAGGAGATGCGATCGCTGTCCGAAGACCTGGGACGCCTCCGAGGTTTGATGGATGGCCTTCCCTCCGTACCCGATCAGTTCAAGCAAAATCCGATGCGTCCAGTGAAACCCAGAGGCACATATCATGCAGTTACGAACAGGGGGAATAGAAGTGTGGCAAGGAATAATCATGAGTCGATTCCAGCTCCCGAACAAGGCCGCTCTTCGGCCGGGCATGCCCTCCCTTTTACCGGCAGAAACAAGGTGCCTGTAGAATTTGAAGAAAGGGAGGGCTCAAACCGGAAACGCCACAAGAACAGTTCATTCGAGCAAGAGCTTCAACGATTGCATGAACAGAGAGAGAGATTGGAGCAAGAGGCTCACGAGAAGCAGATGTTGTTGGAGTCTGTGGCCCGGTTCTCCAACCAGTCACGAGATGCCGAGTCTGGCATAGGGATGTATTCCCGTAAACTGGTTGGAACTTCTCAACCAATACTGAGCCCATCCTCTGTCTTTGAAGGATTCAAAGACACCCCGTCGCTGGGGCCGCCTAGACCGGCAACTACAGACTCAAGTTCTGCTTCTTCCGATGCATCATCCGAAGACACCACCGTTGAGAAGCCCGAGAATGGCGCTGTCAATTCGGCCGCGAAGCGCCTGAATTTCGGAGACTCCTCGTTGAAAAAACCCGATACCACTATGCTTCACCCGGTTGGTACAGGTAAGAGTTGTATTTCTATGGAATCGAACTCAGACTGTGTGTCCGAACGGGATGATGATATGAGTAAAGACCATTTCGGCAGCGTGGCTGTAGAAGACGGGTCTGTAGGAAGCTGCACGGACATCACCGAGGAGCAAGGCTTTCCAGAGAATGGATTGAAGGGGGGATGTTCTCCAGAGGAAGGTGAAACAAAGGACTTCCTTCAAGGAGAATCGGTAGTGGAAGGCATTGAAGAGGAAGAGTTAACGACAGGTAGTGGTATCAACGAGATTCAGAGACTCGAAGAGGAAGTTGGCAGCTGGGGATATGGAGAAACTCCGAGAATTCTCCCTACGGAAGAACTTTTGCCTTCGGAAATTAGAGCTGCCGAGACACCTGGAACTCTTATTTATCATGAGGAACCAGGAGAGGGCGTTGTTGAGGAGGAATCATTGAGCGCTAGGTGTCACAAGATCAGGCGATCTTTGGAATTTATTTTCGATTCGAAAAATATAGAAGGTGCTAGAGGATCTCTTGAGACCTGTTTACACCCAGCTGTGCCGTCCTCTCAATCACACCTGGAAGAGGAGGAATCTTTTCAAGTCTCTATATTGAAGTCTTTTCAAACTGAAGGTACGGGAGGTAGTTGGAAAGTTGTGTTATCACAAGATATACGAGCACAAATAAATAAATTGAAAATATGCAAATCATGGCAGTGGATTTTAAAACTTGGAGTCGTAGTCACATGTGTACCCTATGCGTGCGCCGTTGCCCCTTATTATTATCCAGTGCCGACTGTTTGGTCACCCAACGTAGCATCGTCTCATTTCTTGTCATTTGTTTTTATGAGACCATATGCTCTATTTCTCGTCTTCTCTTGAAGTTACACAGGGTGGACATTGAAGCTGAAAGTTACGTTCATATTCAAGCACTTTCATACTTTTAAAATTTCTTTCTTCTCACTTTTCATTTTCTTGTGGTCACCCTTATGTCGAATCGTGCAGAGGGCAATCAACCTCGAGAACTATATGCTAAAATTGGCGATGAAGATGAATTCCGAGTAGGGAGACGAGAAGCATCTGCTAATGTTGGTGATGACAACGATTTTCAAATCTGGAAACAGAATGCCGAAACTCACATACGGGAATTGAGTTCTCAGTTTAGTCTTCTCCATCAAAAGGTGGAGCGTGAAGTGGAGCTGCAAGATGAGTTGAGGAAGCAACAGCACCTAGAACAGAGTTCAGCTACTACAGAACAGCTGACCAAGCAGGTTAACTCCTTTGGAGACGAAATTACTGAACTCAGACAGAGCATGCTCCAACTGCAGCAGAAACTTCTAAAGGAAGTTGAAAGCAGGTCAAGCGCGGAGCATTCTATAGAGCACTTCCGCAGTATCTGCACTGATCAATCATCCAAATTGGAGCATATGGAGAGTCGGGTTAGCATATTAGCCAACGAGCTAGAGCAGCAACTGCAGCTGAAAGCCGAGCTAGAGGGAAAGCTTGACAAAGAAGCTCAAGAAAGATTGAAAGTTGAGGTACGGCTCAAGGACCTGAGTCATGCTGTTTTGCTTACGGCCAGCACACGAGAGAGAGGAGAAGAAGCAGTTGAAGAGCTGGTTGAGAAGCAGAAGATATTGTTGATTGACCAATTGAAAGAGGCAGAGAAGCTTCGAACTGTGGCGGAAGTGAGAGTATGTACTCTTGATAAGCAAGTCGAGCAGTTAGAAATGGTCTGTGATGTATCTCAAAATATCCAAGAGATTTTGAAGTTTCAAGACAAAGCTCTGAAGTTGGGGTTACAAACCCTAGTTCAGGTGCTTATGCTAGCATTTGGTGTAGTTACTTTGTACAGCCGGGTTGCGGAAGCAATTAAAGGTTCCCTCATTCCTACCTAGAATCACCCAAATCGGGAAAGCCCAGCGCGCATCTCGATAATCTTGCACAAAGTCCACCTTCTAGATGTGGAGGTCTCACATCACGCATGTGTGGAGGTTAAATCTAACTTCAGTCCTACCCAACAAGAACACTTCCACAGGCAAGTGCGTTCCTCTGATTTTATCTTGTTGGTAGCGTCAAGAAGAGACTGTGCTGTACTTTTTGTAATTAATTTTCTCTCATGTTTTGAGGTGTACATTTCTCTCGACACTCCAAGCTTTGTGATGTTATTTGAAGTATATCGAGTACCTGAGTTGGATGTGTCAAAGTTTTGATTACTTTCGTACAGCTCGTTTTTTCAGTCCCGTTTCGAACCCTGACAGCAGACGACAGAATTCTTTGCTGACGATGTGATTGAAAGGGTTGAGTTTGTAGATTATGACATGAAACAGTGGTAAAGCTAAGTGCCAAGGCGATTGCGGTCCTTTTATGGACATTCCTTTTGATGTGACAAAACCTTTGCTTATCCTCTATGTGGAACCTAAGGTATCCACGTTTGTTCCTTTCTAAGAACGGGCATTGGTTTCGCCAATTCATAATTTGTCTTTTTAATACTGCTTTTGCAAATGTGCTCAAATTGTGGCTGAACGTCCTCCGCGTGGGTTTGACGTCAAAGTCTCATGTGTTCAATTTTTAGGGGGCCTATATCTCAGTTTGCTTATATGCGCCGTCACTTCCAGTGTTTTAAACACTTGTAGCCAGATCGCACATCTCATCAGGCACAATCAAGGACGCTGTATATGTCAGAAATTGGGTTCATAATCACTCTGCCTAAGTCATTTGTGGTGGACAGTTCTGTAGGTTGTACCATGTCTTGAATAGCTAGAGACATAGACAAGCTATGAGTAAGCAGGCCTGTCCAATCGAGAAGAATATGATTTGATTTTTCATATAGTTTTCGAGCCACTTGTAATGATTACTTTTTGCTTCCGGATATAGAATTCATGATCTACGTTTGTGGAACAATTGAAATGTAGAAAATTTCATGGGGAGTAAGATATGTTTTAGGAGAAGGAAAAGTCACCTGAAAGTAGCAAAGGACTCGTAAGCGACTGACTTTTATGTCACCTTGTATGGTTCGGAAAAGTGGCCAAATATTGATGTGGTCTCAAGCCATTGAAAAACGTTTTTCAAAGCTTTCATTTGTGTGGTTTCATCTAGGTATGTCGAAGACTCTTGGATATTATAGTTATCATCCTCAATGTTAGATCACGTTGAGATTCGGGAGAAGTAAGATATTTCTGCTTACCCTTGAATGGATCCTGACCTTTTACGGACACCCTTCGTTTTCGTCTTTGGGGTCGGTTTCTTCACTAGGATTTCCGTACCGTTATGTTGGTTTGTATCTACATTAAGCTTGCGTCACATTGCTTACTACATGTGGTTAGCAAGATCAATCGCTAAAACTGACTGGTGTCTCTTTGATTTTGAATGGAGACAGGGCTTGACCTACATTCTACTTCTGACCTTTGCGATTTGGTTACGATGCTGGAAACTTCGAGTCTTTAGTTTTGTATATATTTTTTGCTGCCTGTCTGGAAGTTGTGAAAGTCACCGACGTTTTATTTTGTCTCTATCATCTTTATCATTTTTACTTCTCCACCTCCACCTCCACTTGAAACACTTGAAAGCAGCGACACACAATGGGTTGTTTACCTTATCAGGTCGTCGACAGCAGCATTTCCGGTCTGAAACGTCGCAAGAACTATGTTCTTTCTAAAAGGTGAGATACATGTGGCTCGCTGCATGACACTTATATGCTTTCAAAGGAGATGAGCATTCATTGCCGTTGAACGAATGCTGATCGGAAAGAAACTTCCTTTGCAGCCAAAAGAACTTCACTCTTTTGCAGATTGTAGCGATATGGTCAACAAGGGAAGGTGTGCCGTCATGTAGTTCGTGTTAATGTGCTCTTAAAACAAATCTGTCCGAGACAAAGTCTAAGTAACGAGACTTAAACCAGCAAAAACATCTTATCGGTGAGAAGTACTCAGGTTCGAGGAAGGTTTACATGGAACTTTCTTCATCTACTATACGTTTCATTTAATTGGTCAATGACAATGTTTTCCATAAATATACCATATATGATTGAATGTATTTATCCTCACAGCACTCTATAAACATAGGTTATGACATGGTTACTGTCATTGCTGTGTTTAGAAGATATATTATTTGTCAGCGCAATTTATATGGAGCACTTGAATGACCTGAAGCTTGGGATTTTTCTTGTAGTAGCAAATTGATAGAAAAAAATTAGTGATTGATGTCACTAGTTTTGAGCACTACATGCTATAAATGCACATGATGATATTGGGTCAAATATTTGTAATGTCTGGAATTCTAAATCATATCAAGATTGTTCCAAATATTACCTTTTATCATTTAGAAATTTAAATATGATTGAAAATAATACATTGAATGATAAATTTACTATATTTTATTTTTTTAATAATTATTTAGGGAGTGGTTACTTATACCGTACTTAGAGCTCATTAGCTTTCACTCTACTCCAGGCTCTTCTATCAACGGTAGATATAGGGTTGTAAGTTATTTGGATGAGTAGCATTCAGTGTAGGGTGTCATCCAATCATAGAATGTCACACCAATCATAGAATCTTATATATTATGGTGATGATAATTAAAACTAATTGAGGTATAGCTATCACTAGTCATTATTTCTTGTATGATTAAAAAACTAATTATTTATATTTAAATCATCATCTATCATAATGATTGAAAAAAATTTTGTGAAATTTTTTATATACTAACATCAAATTGTATACAATGATAGATTATTTTGATAAAAATAATGAATAATAACACATTTCATGCAAGTTTGTATCTCTCATTCAAATAATCATTCATATATGGAAATTATTTGAATATATTAAAATTCAAAATAATTATTTTATTAAATTAATTTTTAAACATTATTATATTAATCTCAAACACAAACTAAAAATTATTAATATTTTTTTCTAATATTTAAAATTGTTAGTATTTAATTGAAAATCTTTGATAATAAGTAAGTGACCCAACATAACATATAATGTTATTATTTTATAGTTATTTGTTGAGAATAAGTGTACTAAATAATACGTGTGTTTGTTTAGATTAGGATGAAATGTGTCAATTAAAAACGATATGAAAATAATCTATATATTTGTCAATTAGATTTTGAATGTATCAATTAAGAACGATAAGTTAACAATCTATATGGTTGTTAATTAAATATTGAATTTGTTAATTAGTATGTTAGTTGAAAACGACATATCAACATTCCATATGTTTGTTAAACTATCTGCCAAACTATCGATCCATTAAGAATGAATTGGATGATGAGAATGAAATATTATTTCCTTGTAATTGTTAATCTGATCAATATAACGTAAAGAAGAACCATTCTAATTATCTTTCACCTCTAGAGTTGTGTTTATTCTTCGAATAAACTTTTCTTTTGATACATAATGTTACAACTCCACATCTGTGTTTTTTAACTACATCTTGTTGCAACCATCATCTACATCATTGAATCTAGAGGATGAAAAATCAATAAGTGATTTATTGTTAGTCACAACAGTTATCATAAGAGTTGCAATCAAGTCAAAGAATTTGAAGTACACTTGAACTTATGTACCTTATGCTAAGGTATTTATGTCGTATTTATTCTCTTGATTACTACGGTATGATGGAGCTTTAGGATTTGAAATTTAGTGGCAGTGAAATGATTATTGAACAAGCCATGGTCAGTAGGAGATAGAGGCTGGACGTGGCAAGGAATGTCTTGAGGAACGAAATGAGTCAAGAAAACAAGCACGTAAGGCTCGTTGAGGTTCTTTATCCGAAGACAAAAAACGAGGATTGATGAACAAAAGCATTCAACTGTTGGACGCAGATTCATTGAGCATTGTACCTAGAACGCAACACCGTTTGTTAAAGATTAAAGTACCTTTTGATAGAGTACGAAGTATCGTTGGTTAAATATTGATCACAATTGATTGTTGAATTTTTTGTTTCTAGATTATTCTATGTGTCTACGAGACAAGAGATGAATGAATGAAATAGAAAAATCTTCAAATCAAATTGTTGCAGTCACAACTTCAAATGTTTGTTGTAACAATGTCACAACCATTAAATTTGAAGTAACAAACATAATCAAATACAATGGACATGGTGACTATTTGTTTTGAAATACATAAATGAAGAGCAAGTTGAGGGCCATGGATCTCGTCAAGTTGTTGACGCCAAAACTATCAAATTACAACGATGACGATTGTAAGTAACTTCAAAAACAAGCTCTGAATATTGTCATTGTCTATTTGCAATCTTTGACCTTGAAAAAACTGGATGAATATGACAAGTGTACTAATTTATTTGATACTTTTGAACTACGATTTCATCCAAAGAGCTATCAAACAAGTTGTATGCTTACTTGAAGCTAATGAGTTTCAAAATGAAGTATTATGACATAAGGATTCAAGAGCACATCAATGCATTTGATTACTGATCTATAAAATCTTGGAAAGTAAATATCTGATGAGAGTAAAGTTCTTCATCTTTGTAGTTCACTGCGAAAATTTTATCAATTATTATTGTGTATCTTGTTTCATCGTAATGGACAAACCATCACTTACAACAAGATTGTAAGTATCATGTTGATTGATGATTTACAACAAAAGATGATATTATCATATACTCCATCATTTTTTTTGTTACAACATTGAATGTGATTCAAAGTCACACATATTTAAAGAATGGCAAGGATGACAAGCGTTTTGGATCCAAAGGTAGATCCAATTATATAGGTAATTTTCCAGAAAGAAAATCGTTGGTGTATAGGAGACGTGAGAAAAGTGACCATTTCAAGAAGAACTTCCATGTAAAAATCAAAGGTGATCATTCTCTGTTAGCAAATGTGGCTCAAGAGTTTAATCTGAGGATTATGATTTGTTTAAAAATGGACTATGATGCTAGAGATATGATTTATGCAACTGATAAAAGTTTGTTGATAATGTGTAGATTCTAGATAATGCTTAATCTTATCAATGTACTATGATGCTAGAGTATGACTTATGCAATTGATCAAAGGTTGTTGGTGATGTATAATGACTGCTTTAAGATTAATCTTATCACATATGTTACGTTACATTAGATTGTCTTCTTGCACTTTATTAGTATCAATTGGTTCAATTTTTATGATGAATAATTAATATTGTAAGATTGAAGGTATTGAATATTTTAAGATTTGCATGTTTATTGGAGTCCAATGTACATTGATTCAAGTTAATTTGATACCTAATATAAAAAAAAATCTTGATATTTCTTGGAATGTTAGATTCAAAAGATATTGAGTGAAATTTTAAGAAAGTAATGCTTGAGATTTAGAATATTTGATAAGATTATATTTAGAAATCATAAGTACAATAATCTATACTTGTTAGAATAAATTATAATTTGTGATGAAATTAACTTTATTAGATTTATAGTTGAAATGTGTCATCCCAACTAAAAATCTAGAATACATAATTAATAGGCGCAAGCAAGCAGTAAACTATATCAGGAATTTCCACCTATACCATACAATTTAAGATACTCAAGACAATTTGTGGCTCTCGAATTCCAAGATACTCATCTCAACAGGCAAATATGTGACGTGGCAATTATATATCTCTTGCTACTGATCCGAAGTTTGCTATGTCTACTATTCATGCTTGAAACGATTATGTGACCCCGAGGTAGAGTTCAATACTGAATCCACACAACGAAGCAAACTCCGGAAAGCTAAAATTCATTAAAACATATTCATCCCTTGTTACCTCTCGGACTGCAGATGCTTGAAACTTCAGAAACGTTTGCGTCCACATTGCACCGCGTGTACAATTTAATGGAGGCGTTCAATGAGGATGCTTGTGTATGCAATGGGTTACGGACTAGGTGATTTGTTCCGTTGGTCTTCCCTGTTTTGTATTGTAGATCATGGACAGAGCTAATCAGGAGTAAAGGATCCAGAAGTATGTGTGGAGGGAAGCCACTTGCAGTACTCAGTTGTATCTGGAGACAAATGGATGAAGTTATGTGAATCTTTTGTATCAAGAATGCTGAACAGTTCATGTCAGGGGTCAGGTAGGGTAAGAGAGGCTGGACGCAAAAAGAACGGAGCGGCAGTCTTTCTAATGACTATCCTATGTTAAATTTTTCGAGATTGTGAGGATAACAAAGCCTCCAATACAACGTCATCACGGGAGTTGGCCACACGAGACTTCATGGCTTTAAAATCATATGCCATGGATCATTTTCTACATTACAGCGGACGTGGCTCATACTTGCCGGGTATATTTTGTTAAGCTGGTGTGGATTACTTAGATCGCTGCAATGTCGTCGACATAGAACTTCCCCGCTATTCAGACGGAGACTAACTTATCAACTTTAATATTTCATTCTTGGTCTCTAAAATCGTCAAAATTAATCGCTTTCAATTCCTCTGATTTTCTTCTTCTCTATCTTGCATAACAAAATTATTTGATGTGCATCGTAGTTGATGTTGATGTAGTTGATATCAAGTATTTCGCCCTTGCGTTACTGATCGGAGAGAAATTTATTTACTGGTTACCGCAGCGATTATTTTGCTCGATTTGAAACTACCTTACACTTAGGCAGTTCAATCACCATTGATTAGACACGAAGAAACAAAAGCCCGGATCATACAGATATATGAGAGAAGTAATGGTTGTCATCTTAATAAAGTGTAGAAATCTATCTGAGCTTGAATAAGTATATACTACATCTGTGGCAGAGCGTTTGAATATTACCTAATAGATGCGAATTTTAAGGACACTTCTTTTGTTTTTTGTTGAGAGTTTGTCGTTTCGTAGTTTGCGTCACAAGATCTACTTTGGGAAGACTGTGCCGAAGTTCAAAGTTCGAACCATCTCCATCCGTTCATTCGAAACTACGATGCCAAAATTGGGTGAAGTCGACTAACATGTACTACATGGCGCCGCCGAATCTTTAGTATATCAAAGGATATACGGAAATTTTCACGTGGAGCTCTCTAAGAGATGGCAAAAAAGGACAAAGGAGTGTCTTTATCGTAGACAGTGATCATCCGTTTTACACTTTAAGCAAAGCTATCGGACATGCTTACGAGGCACGAGCCATTTAAGTTACAACTTGTTGCATAATGTTCTGTTCCATAAACTCTGTATAACAATAATAGAATGGAGGCCAAGTAACTTCTGTGCATTCATCTGCTTGTGATTTGTTGATCGGGTTTGGTTGATGTATTTGTGTATACTGCCTTCAATAATTCCAGCCTAAACTGAAGAAATTCCCCCAGTGAATTCTGTTTTTATATTGTGGCTCGTATGTACTTGACTTTGAGCATGCAATATGGCACTAGTGATTAGAAAAATGTGGCTCGTATGTCCTGGAGCTCTCTCCAATTCAACTGGAGTAACTAGTTGAGGTATTGAGAAACAAAAGTTTAGTAGGCATGTAGTGTATGATATAATTTATATGCCAGCAACAGACAGCATCATACGGAAGACCATGAAACCATCCTAAATAATTTTTAAGTTTTCCACGTGATTACAGTCATGTGTCTACATAGTTTGATTGGGTTTACGAGGATTAGCGTCTATCACTGAGTGGCAAATTTGTGATTCGGTAGAGTTATTTTTTGTTTTTCTCAAGTTTTTCCCTTTTCTGGCATCGAGTTGCCACGTATACGAGTCGGTAGACGTGGCGGAGCGACGAGGGGTAATTCCGAAACATACGTGTTGGAGATGTCGCTCCTGGGCCCCACATGGTTAACGGCCTGTGTCTATCGAAAGCAAAAGAACGGTGGCGGTTGTCTTTTGATATTTTCAGCATATGCGGACCAATTGCAGAGAAAGTGGGTAAACTTCCGGTAAATTGCCGGAAGTCTTCCCTCTCGTAGAAGCAAGGATCTTAGACAGAGTCGATCTCGACTCTGCCCCACTCTTCTTCTTCAGATTGTGTCTGACAGTAGAAACTCACTTTGTACTGTCAAATTTCGTGTTTGGGAAAATTCACGAAAATTGGATCCAATGCAGTGCTAAAATCAGCGTCAATTGTCGCTAGATTGATTTCCTGCGGGAAAGACTGGAGTTATCTACTACAACGATTTCTCGTGTATTTGCCACAAGCAATATCATATGGTGGATGAATGGGAGTAGTCTGTCGGACATTGCGGTCTTCACTCTTGGATCCTGTTTTGTTTTGCACCAGGGAGATTGGTTTTGCTCCAGTTTCAGTTGAACGTGATGAAGTTAGCCCTTCAATGAGGCTGAGAACGAGAGTGCATTGGGCAGTCACGCAAGAGCGCAAGCTGCGGACTAATAGCTTCTTCTGCCACTCTGACTCCTGTCTTAGTTCTGTTGACGATCTCAGGCAGGGCATTCCCTGCAAGGATTCTGCGGTGCAAGAGCACTGTCGTAGATAACCAAAGAAACTTTGTGCTTGAAAGTCAAGCAATTGTCACTGTTCCCGACTGTGAACAATAAGGTCCGCTGGTGGCCAGGTGCTAATGAGTTGTTCCGTGTTTGTCCATAGTCTTTCGACCAAGCAGTGTTCGTTTCTCCGAATGCTGTGACCAATTCTGTACGTAAAGAAAAAATCAGTCGACTACTCATTGTGACATTGATCAGTATTTTCATGTCCTACCAGTCTGCTGAGGCTTTTCAGTCGCTCTCTTTCAGCTCTTGGAGACGCTAGGGGCTCAACATCTAGTAAACGTAAGAAGGCTCTGAGGCGAGGCATTAGTATCATCAACATGGGTCAAAAGAAGCTTCGCTTTCGGTCGGACAATGAGAGATCGTTTTCAGCTGCGGATACCTCATGGAATACAGAGGACAGCGGAGGACGAATTCCATTCTTCGAGAGAGTTTATAATTTGACTAACAAGGACAAAGTGTACACTTTGATGGAAGAAGAGGATATGACAGGCATTGAAGCCCACCGAAGACCGATCGTGACTCGTGGTTCGTTTCAGAACGTGAAACTCTCTTTTGTCTCTTTGCCTCTAACAGGCATCAAAGAAGAAAAACTTGCACCTACCCAGTTTCCTTGGAGATGGAGCTGGAAAATGTGGTTGCCCGGTTTTGAGGATGCAGAACCTGGAGAAGCAGAAACGGCTCTCAATCATGTGTACGCTGGTGCGATGGCCAGAACTGTATCTCAGGTGCTTACATCCCATTCTTTGTCTTGACATCAAACAAACCTCTGAGTGTATTATCATGAATCCCCTGGTTTTAAGTCAATCGATTTTGCAGTCTTTTACAGGTCTTGAAGCAAAAGTCTGGTTTGTTCGATACCTTAGCATTGTTTATCACAAGTTTTGAGCAGAGAAAGTCGATGACGCTAAATGACATTGCTATCAGATACATTGATTTAGTTTCTGGTTGCGGACATCTTCCATATCTTAGTACCAAGAAAGTCATAACATCACCACTGAACAAACTACCACAACTCTCCACTCTTTTCAGCAGTTAACCTGCATTTTCGTCATTCGTTTTGATCTCTGACATCTTTTGAGACGTTTTTTGCATGTTTTAGTCTTCGACATCGCATTGCTGTGCAGAATATGACTGGCTTCTGTGAGTTTGTTAAATAATTTGGCATCGTTGCTTATTTGAAAAATTGCATTTCGATGTTGTGTGAAGGTTGGCATTCATCCTGTGGATACGGTGAAAACCAGAATGCAAGTTAAGGATCCTGCTAAGCAATTGAGGAAATGGAAAAAGAAAGTCGCCTCTAAACCCATTGGTTTAGGTCCTGTGGGTATAGACAACTGGTTTGTGAAGGGACCAGGAGACCTATTTAGAGGAGTAACAGGAGCCATTTTAGGGACTGTGCCGACTGCTCTATTATATTTTGCCTCTTACGAAGGTATGGCATGAAGATTTAACCAGTTCATGCATAAATAGCCTGGGTATGGAACTCTATGGAAATCATCAACATTTTTTTTACAAAAAGATTTGCTTAGACGACAATTATTGTGTGTTGACTTTTCCAATCTATTGTTTTTCTCATTATGCAGTCACGAAGAGGAAGCTGAAGAAGATTTTGCCAGAAAATTGGGATGGACTTATCCATGTTGCTTCAGCCTCTGTCGGCACTATTGTAGCTTCAATTGTCCGGGTATTGGTCTACAACTTGTAGAATCTGATGGCTGAAAGTGCTTGTGTTCAATAGTATTTCATAATCTGTTTCGACTTCTATGGATTATGAGATACTAGGACCAAAGTTGTGATACCTATTACTACTTCCTTGCAGGTACCAGCGGATACTGTGAAACATAGAGTTCAGGCTTACATGCATGCAAATGGTAAGATTGGTGCTGTTGTATTCCTCTTTCTATTCAGAAGTCATCCGATCGCTGAAGACTTCTCTTCCGCTGAACGCCTAATTTTTCCAGCGCACATTTTCGCCGTAGCACCTGAAGTTTGGTGATGTGTACGATTGTAGTCCCAGTAAACGTACGCTTCTGTTTAGATTACACCACGAGTTATGTGTACTATTAAATTGCTTCTTATGCTGCTTTCTTCGAGTTACTAGCAGATCAGCGGCATTGGCCTTCCCACAACGCATTGCAACCTTACACGATATCCCTAGATATTTTTTCAAGGTTTGTAAATGACGATGGGTCTTTACCAACTAACCTTTTTCTTCATCTTGACGCAGTATTTGAAGCATGCAGAATGGTTGTTGCTACAGATGGGATTGGTGGCCTTTACAGAGGCTTTTGGCCAACGCTTATGCGAGATGTCCCCGAGATAGCAATCCAGGCATGACTAACCTCAAGCACATTTAACGGCTTCAGTACCTGAGGCTCTCCTCCTTGGTTCTGTATCTTACGTTTGACTTCGCGAACGTGCTGCAGCAAATTTATCTCAAAAAGAATTTACTTCGCTGAATTCTCTAACTATCATATTAATATGCATATTGCAGTTTGGTGTATATGAGAAACTGAGGAGCTATATTACAACGAAACGCAAAGTATCCAAATTAACGTAAGCTGCCTTGTTTCCGGAACCTTTCCGTGAACTCTTGTATAAAACCTTGGCTTCTTGCTCGGAATCTCTTTTTCTTCATGTGTGGATGGTGTCGTCCCAACAATGGATAGGGATCGTCTTTTCTTTGAGGTTTGAGTGCTGTCAGTATCTGATTTGTTCAGTCAACGTTATGTGCAGCACTCCCGAACATTTGCTACTGGGAGCGTTTGCAGGTGCTATTGCAGCAACCTGCACGATGCCAGTAAGTGAATTAACTACTACAAATGTGTTTGATGTTGCTCAGATAATGTTGGATATGAGGAATCTCTTCCTTTTCCGAGTTTCACAAGTGGATTTCCGAGTTTGTTTTCTAACTAGTGTCAGATCATGTGCTCAATATTGAAACGACGTAGAATTTACTCATCCTCTCGGAGTATGTCATTCATTCTGCCCCGCTTTTTGTGCTTGCACGCTCATCAAAAGTCATGGTAGTTACACTTATTATTTGTGCAATGATAGCTTGATTTCATTAAAACGAGACAGCAATGCGGAATGTCGGCGAGTATACCCGACATTGTGGCGTCTGTTATTCAAGAAAAAGGTGTAGGAGGTCTATTTACTGGTTTGGTACGTATGTTTTGCATCTCCCATCTACGTTGGTCGGCATTTCTCGTAGATTAGTGCTCAAGCTTATGTATAATATATATATATATATATATATATATATATGACGAATACTTTGGGTCACGAGCAATTATTATATAGTTGATGAATATGCGAAATCTTGATTTGTTTTGTTTAACATGTGAGATACGGAAGGGGTTGAGGATTTCTGACAAAATTGGGTCTTACTTCCGGTGTGTGGTTCTTTATTTCTCTGTTCTGTAATGCAGGGATCGCGAGTGCTTCACGTATCCTTGATGTCAGCACTCTTCTTCGGTTTGTTTGAGTATTGCAAGCTGGTAATGACTCATCCCATTTCAGAGCAGACTTACTCGATGTACAGTGTAAGTAAGGGTATAAGGGAATCACATATGTATAGGAGTAAATTGGAGTCAATGCGAATGGCTCGAGGAAGTTGAATGGATCACTGACCAATTACAGAATAAACAGGTCATCTAGAAATGTAGGTTTAGAATTAGACTCGCCTGTAAAGTGTGCATAGCAGCACGTCCTCCGTGGCAATCTATCTAACCTGGGGCAGATTGTCATGGGGCAGGTACTGAAACCCGGTCGGGATCAATATGATAGCCAAATTTTCCCCAAAATTATGCTGAAGAGAAGGGACAAAATTTGGAAAAGACAATTTGTGTACACCGGATAGTTAGTGGTCACGACCCTACGGTCAATTGTCGATAAAAATTTGTACATTCACAACGCCGTTATATAGAAAAGGCACGAAGCAAGGTGCGTTTTCTAATTTTCACTGCCCTTACCGATTATATCTTCGTGCTGGTTGTAACTGCCCTCACAACATGGCACAGATTAGTGTCATGTGAATTCGACGGTACGAAGACTCTTATGGGAGTCAGATGACAGGCAAACATGAGTGATTGATGAGGTTGTAGATAAGCTTGTGATTGACATTTCAAGAATTTTTTTCAAGTAGAGATTGTAGACGATGCAAAATCTTGTTATATTCGGGGTCAAGCCTTGGGCAACCAAGCAACCTCTAATGTGGCGTTATATTTTTAGTGATGAAAATAATATCACTACGTTTATTTGTCCTGCATCGCATGTCTAAATTTTCCCGATAAAAGAGCTCGGTGCAGTGTTCGGCTGTACATCTCTTTTTAGGCAGTATCTGATAGTCGAGTGCAACTCCGAGAGATTGCATTCTTTTGCTTGCTTGGGCCGTGTTTAGTGCCTCATCATCAGAAGTGGGCTATTGTAATGAAATATATGTACGTCAATTCTGTCCATAGATTTTGATTAGACAGATGTGGTTGCATGAGGACAAAATGGAGATACTCAGTTAGTTTGTATGTTTTGTAGTCAAGAAGTAGTAATATTGCACGAGTTGACTATAACCATTAACTCTGCTTGCAAAATATCAGTGTTAACTACGAATAACCAATCGAAGACGATTTGTAGCATAGATAAACGCATGCACTTGGGTTCAAACGAGGATGTGCTGTATTGCACCGTAAAATACAGATATAAAACTCTTCTTGTCTATGAAGGGTAAAATACTTAGAATAATAATCTTTAGAAAAGAAGCAAGTAGGATGAGTGACCACAACTTTGTAATGTAGAGATAAGACTCTTACATGTCCTCGTCCCAATGTGATTTATGTTGCAGCACACAATTCTTCGTGCTCATGTTGAAGCGCCCTACATTTCCATTGTGATATACGTAATGCTTTGTCATATGCGTTGCAACTACAGCAAATTTAAAGTCATTGATAAGTCATTTGACGTCCAGATTCTACAACCTGGACGTCGAGAAGAGTGAAAATACGAGTCTGTCCTTTAAAATTTATCTCACAACCATCGCCAACTAACTGCATCTAACAGCACGTAACTCTTCTATATATATATATATATATATATATATATAAGTTATACCATCATTGAAATCCCAACCAGTACATTAGTCAACACATCAACTCCATAGTCAAACATACAAATAGATATTACATGGAAATGCACGAAGACAATTAATTTACCTCGAACGACAAGGTTAAACCTTTTTTTACACAAAACTAGTCTCCATCCATACACATGACGGAGCCTCCTACGTTTTGACACCGTTCTCCATGGGAGGCAACTAAATCACTTAGCGGATTACATGTTAGCTACCACAATCCGTAAGACAACAACACATCATACATATCCACGTTCACTCATGATACTCAAACCTGCACGACAATACTTGTTTCAAATTATGCACATGTGCCTCTAATGATCATGCTTACTTCGATTTATCCCACACATTACTATCATTTTAAGTCCTATACCAGCTCTCATTTCTTCTATCCGCGTAAGTTTTCAGGAATTTATATATTATTTTCCATTATTAACCTAAATAAAATCCAACTACAAGTCCACATCTGTACATCTCCATCTCTCCAAATTGTCACATTACAAAATCAGGTACTTAGAGATGCAGCTGCACCTATATCATGAGAAAACCTCATAAATATCCTGAAGGACACTTTAATGTGATATTTTTTTTCCCAAAAATTATACTTGCCAGATGCAACTAAACCAATAATAAATATCTTTGATGAATCTTACAAAAGTAACCATTCCAACTATTTCTCTTCATGATTGTACGGTAGTAAGAAATCTCATCAACTGTAAGTTAACCACAAAAGGCCTTGTAATACGACATGTCCACGTGAGTTTTCAAGTAATAGTCTAACAACGCGGAGTGAAAACAATTCTGCAAACAACTAAGTTAGTTAATAAGTTTACATTTAAGGTTTTCTTCATCCATGAAATACAAATGTTGAATACACTCTATTGTTTAAATTTATGAATATGCAATATAGTAAATATGTAATTACTGCAATGAAGTCAAAATTATTTTCAGTAATAGAGAATTTTTTTATCCTTAATTGATACTACGAAATTGAATTTACAAACTTTATTTCGTAAAGACTCATTTACATTCATAAATTTTTTATTTAAAATTATATTTATATTAAATAAATATATTTAATACAATATCTAAATTTAAATATTTAAGAAAAAAATAGTATGTTATGTTTTCATCATCATTCTTTTTTAGTCTTCTAGATATTATTACGTTTTTTGGCAATTATCTTACTGTAACTGAAAATGCACATAAATACGAAAATTCAATACATAAATATTAAATAAATATCTTAATTTTGTATAACGAAGAGAATTTTTTGGGATCTATTTTATTTCCCGATTTTATTCAAAAAAAATTTCTCAAGATTAAATAAATACTTTAAGCTGAACATACTTCAAATTTATTTCTTTATCAAAAAGATCCTCATTATTTATTATTTTTTACAATTTTTTGGTAGGGTTACAAAAAGTATATGCTTAATTTTGAAGAAATTAAAGCAGATTTTCTTAAATAATTGGATAAATTTGAATACATGTCATTAAATTTTTTAAAAAGTTTTTAAGAAAAATCATTAAATGATCAATGTTATTGAAATGAAATACCAAAATTGTGAGATCACATTACATGTCTACATGGATGCAACGTTGCGTAGATTTCAAACAAGATGAGGTGATTTTCTACCTACAAGAATATAACTATAAATACTAACTGGTAGAACAATTAAAAAAATCTATCTTTGTTTTTTATTGTTTTGGATCAAATTTATATAATTAAGTTAGTGAAAAGAAGTGGAAACATACTTAAAGTCACATAAATATGAATGTATGATGGAGGTTGTTGTGACCACCATCTCAGTGAGAAAATGTCTTAATGCAGCTAATATATTTGATTGATATAAGCCAATCAACATACATATATCAGTTGATTATATCAATTAGTGTTCTCTAATAAGTTTATGTAGAATACTGTATACACGTTTTTCTAATGTAAGCTCAACACAATATTATCCCATTCTCAACATAATAAAAAACGAATATCGCAACTTCTCAAATATTTTATAATTCTAATATAAGATTAAAGATGAACAAAGATCAAAACTCTAAACATACCTTTACACGCGGAGACATTGTTCAGGCTCCAATCTATTCACATCCAAGAGCGGATGGTTATCAATTATTTTGTGGTAACCATCATAAAGAGTGCTACTTGTAGGATTCTTGACCAATGTATGCAATATTAACCTAATGTGCACAATAGTAACCTGGTGTCCTCAAGGGAGTGAAGGAATGTAGAAACAGGAGTTTAATGGAAGACCCTGGACGCGAATTGTTCGATTGTTCGAGTTGTTGAAGGATAGGGGATGGATTCAAATCCGAAAGGATGGTGGACCTGCTGCAACCGAGAACTCGGGTCCATGCCCGACAAGGACTTCGCTTACGCGCCTGGAAACAAGCAGAGGGTGACGGGCGATAGCCTGCGGGCACGGCAAGGCGGACTTGAGAGCGGAAAGGAGAGGAGCTTGACTTGGCTTAGGTCTAGACAAGGCGTGGACAGACAGCAGCACGGGAGAGGAGGAGGGACGGGACAGTGGCCACTGCTCGTCGCTCGTCTCTCTCTGTGATCTTCGTCTGGTGCCTCTGAGTTGCGTGCGTATGTGTGTCAATCGGATGTGCCTGCTCAGCGCTTGAGCTTCATCGCTGCTACTCTTCGCGGAGCCGATCGAGGAGCGCATTGGCACCAGCCGAATAGCAGGTGTAGAAATCGTCTGCTGTTGTCTCGAGCGTTTGTTTGGTCGATTTGCGTGGAGTGGCGTGCCTACGGTAGGACTGGCTGTTGATCTGGTAGCTTCGAGGAATTCGGATATGATTGGAAGGGCGGAGTTGCACACGTCTTAGTTAGGACCCGGGTGCAAGCGGGAGCGCGAGAGCGAGAGCGAGACGCTGAGGACCAGGGCAGGTCACGCTGATGATGGGGGAGGAGAAGAAGAGGAAGGGGCGTGAGACTCACTTCCGGGTTTGATTGCGATTGCGGAGATCGGGAGATGTTGTGATTTCATTGAGAATCCGCGGGAGTCGAAAGAGTTCCCGGGACCTCGGCCCTCTGAGGGCCATGTCTCAAAGCAAAGAGGTTTTACAGTCCTCTGGAGTTTCAGCTCCTAAAGATCTGTTCGATCTTGCTATTGAGTCGCCAATAGTTACTGTCGAGTCACCTGCCACTGAAGATCTTTTTGCCGATCTTACTCCTAGTGACAAGTTTGTCGATGCTTTCGAGCAAGCAGATGAAAACCTTGGGCGAGTTTCTGGAGATTTGAATATCGAAATTAGTAAAGAGAATGGAGAAATGGAAACGTCGGTTGATAGAGAGGGAAAATCTGAAATGGATGAAGTGGTGATGGCTAAGGCGTTGATCAACGGATTGCACGAAAGGGAGAATCTGGACGTCGTATCCGAGACCAGGACTGAGCAAACGGATCAGCGAGAGTCTGAGGCAACAGGAAATGCCATGCCTGATAATGCCGTGCCTCATGGCGAGGAGAACCATCCTTCGTCTGGTTTTGATGGTCAGGTGGTCAGTCACACTAGATCTCATCAAAAGACTGACAATGGCGGTGGTAAAGTGCATGGAGGTGGAGCTGACGAACACCGGGCACAGGGTGGAAGGCCATCGGATGTGTAAGTATCTTCTCCACGTTAGTATATTTTCTGCCTTTAGAATCCAAATATACCAAGTTCTGTCGTACAAGCTTTTCCTTCTTACCGTAGCATTTGATGTTTCGCGTAGACATCGAAGGATTCGGCATCCCGTTCATCAAGTAGTTTAGTAAGATGCATTACTCCCAGTGATGCACCTCACGCTGTACGTGTTAGCCTTATCCTTCTTGCTGTAGGTCCGCTTTTTTCTTAGTATATGTATATGGTAATATTGTGCTCAATTTGAATGAAGAAGATGGTTTTAAATATAAGTTCAATAAAAAGTTTATCTCAAAGTAATGATTATGGAGGCTATCAATCATACATTACGGGGAATACTGAGGACTGATTTGTAACTATTGTAGAGCAACCTTGAAAGCGTGAGATAAGGCAAGTAAGTACCGGAATAGTAGAATATTGTTTGTTTTGGAACAAACAAGCCAAGCCGGATGAGCTCATTAGTTGACCCATGTGACAATCATAATCTGATGTACCTATTCTGGCACTGGGCATAACTACTGGGCAAGTCTATGTCAGTGCAGACGGGCTGACAATGAATTATATATCTGTACATGCTCGTACGCTCTGTCAGAAGGAGATCGTAACTGCCTTTCTAGGTGTTTGGCAATCTGCTGTAAGATAGCATTGCGTTGCTAACTTCTGAACCAGACGAAAGTCAGTCAGTTAATATCATGCAAGACGAGCATGCTGTAACTTTGTGCCTTCCGCATGCATTCAATGCTCGCCATCATCACTTTCATTTTCAGGAAAGACGTTTTCGTGAACACCGTGGACTTATCTTCAAAGTAAACATGGGTATTGTCATGGTAGCAGGCAAATTTTATCTTATACAGCTGAGCTTGTTACCTAGTCATTACATAGACTTGCTCCAGCACCATGGCCTTCTATGTTTCTGTTGTAACCAGAAGCGCTTACCGTTCTTCAGGCCGGACAACTACCCAAGCCGAACCCCAAGCGGGACGAGCATTGTTGGAGATGTTCTCTACGGCATCGCCTCCGAAGATGAAGAAGGTCGATCTCGACAACGCATTTTAGCATTTGCTGCTAAGCGGTAATTTCTTCTTCCAAACTTTCGTGTTCACATTTGAAAGTTAGTAATTTTGTTAACATGATTTGATAGTGCCCTCATTGATATTGGTTCATCCTTGGGGTTTTACCAGTTCGTTCAATTCTTGCGTAAGCTATACAAGTAGTGGACTAAGAGCGTGCTTTGTAAAAATACCTATTCAAGCAGATACTCGAATGCTGTCGAAAGGAACCCGGCCGACCACGACGCTTTGTACAACTGGGCTTTAGTTCTACAGGTATGGTCATTCCCTCGAGTTGTCTGATTTAAAAGCTTTGTTTTCTAAAGCTTTAAAGGTCTCAGCTGCTTACATTGTATAAAGAGGTTAGGATTTGGAGGTTCAAGCCTTCGCCTTGTGCATTATATTTGATAATATAGCCATCATACGACGGCATTCGCCGCGGTAAGAGGAGAGATAATTATGTACCAGAAACAACGGAATTCCATTGGTCAATCTCCCCTTATATTCACACATCTACCGTTATGAGCAGAAGGATCTGAATGTACTCTTTGCGGATCGTTAATGTTGGAGAAGTCTCATACAAAATTACTTTCGACCTTTCCTACGAGAAATTCATCTAGATAGGCTTGTCTCCTTTCTCCTTTTTGATTCTATGGAAATACTTTACAGGAAAGTGCAGATAATACAGGACCGGAGGTTGGTAATGCAGGGAAGGATGCGTTGCTCGAGGAGGCATGTAAAAAGTATGAAGCAGCTACTCATTTGTGCCCCACCTTACATGAGGTAGGCATAAATTTGGAAATTGAAACACGGAAAGGGAACCCAGTTGCCCCATAAATTTTCGCTGAAAAGAAGGAACTGGAACTAGGAGGGTGGAAGGTTCATACCATAAGTCATGTGAAGTTTTTACTCAATCAAGCGCGCTGTGTAATAACAAAAGTAATCGTGTTTCAGGCCTTTTACAATTGGGCGATCGCTATCTCCGACCGTGCCAAGATAAGGGGTCGAACGAAAGAGGCCGAGGATTTGTGGAAGCAGGTCCATTTCATTTTCGTCTTTGGTCCTTCTCGGACTACCATAGGAGTGTCCCTTATTGGAGATCAAGTTCGTACATACTGCAGTGTTGCCTAGTTTGGCAAGTTCGAATGGCCCTTGTTTGATATGTCCTTGTTGTATGGTGTGTCGAGGGTGTACACTCAATCAATCAAAACTGATATAGTCCATCGTGATTGCTGGCAGGCTTGTGAGAGATACGACAGATCTGTGCAGCTTAATTGGAACAGTCCGCAGGTATGAAGCTTTTGTGCAATCTGCGATATACTTTTTCATAGAAATTCAAGCAGTTCCCCGAAACTTCGCTCGAATTTGAAGCGGAAACATTTTGTGTATGTTCATGAGTGTTATTAGGTTGGTATTTGGCACGAATAATAATCTGTAAATTTTGTTACTGTTCACCCAGTGATACTACGCAACCCGGAAAGATAAGTATCAGCCATAGATGGAGTTGCAATTTTTAGTACATAGGTTTTTCCTGCTTGGCTTGTATGACCAGTACCGATTTACCTAGCGCATATCTTTCTACCAAGCTGATTTTGGTTTATCTTGTGGTCAGGCACTGAATAACTGGGGCCTTGCCCTTCAGGTGAGCCTTCGTCGTTGTTAAGTACTTCGCTTTTAACTTTTGTTGAGGTGTTTGTAGCGTAGTTCAACTCTTATTAAGTTGTCTCGTCAGGTCCTGCATAATGCTAGAAGATACCTGATAATAAGACCCTCTAGTTTGAACAATGTTCCATCACTAGAGGGTAACGTATTTGTTGTGATTCACACAGGAGCTTGGAGCCATTGTTCCCATCAGAGATAAAAGAGCAATTGTTAAGAAGGCTATCAGGAAGGTATTGAAGCTGGTACCTTCATATGTTGGAGAAGATTGCTGAAGATACTAGGGGTGTACCTGTTTGTTGTTGACTGGAGATAGATCTATTTGAAAATAGTGTGATTCACTCAGCAAAGAAGTTTGTCCCTTCGGATGCTGAGATTTATTGAAATTTGGATGTTGTAAGCGATGCAGTTCCGCGCAGCTATTCGACTTAGATTTGACTTTCACCGAGCTGTGTACAATCTAGGGACCGTTCTGGTACGTCCTATTTCTCACGATATGTGCATGCTTAATTTTTCGCATGGATCTCAATTTCTTCTGCTTATGCTTTAGATATCTGAGGTTCAGGATCAGCATATGGGTCTTGTCATTCTAGGGTAATGAGTCAGCAGAGACCTAACAGAACTGTGTAGTGTTTGTCTGTAGTATGGCTTAGCAGAGGATACTGTGAGGAGTGGACGTAAGCCTACTGTGAGGGAGTCTGCACCAAATGACCTGTACAGTCAGTCCGCTATTTATATTGCTGCTGCCCACGCACTAAAGCCTGACTACCCGGTAAAGTTCTTCTCCACTCTTCTTTGCCTCCTGATGCGATCTGCATTGGCAGATGTCCACGGGCACCATTGGACGAGATTCACATTGTCATATCTTAAATAATATATCTGGAATGGATCGCTCAGCCAGGGCGCGGGTTTGTGGTCTTTAGTTTATGTTTATGTTGTAGTCTCAGACTTCTGCTTCACAACATGGTCATGAAACTTCTTTTCGGATAGTTTGGTTTATTGTGGTATTCTTTTGGTAGCAAAATAGTTGCTCGTGTTTAATCGTTCTTATACTTTCATGTTGATTGATGTTGCAATTTGACCGCAGGTTTATCAAAGTGCTCTTCGCCTTGTCCGTTCCATGGTATCGTCTTCATACTTGATAGTTTGTTTTGTGCACTATGAATTCCCCTTATTAGATTAAACGTTTTTGTATCCAAGTTTTGATTTTTGTAGAAAACTGCTACTGATTTTGAGATGTGCATTTTGCGAACACGCAGCTACCTTTGCCTTATTTGAAGGCTGGTTACTTGACTGTACCACCTGTTCGGGACTCTCTTGCTCCCCATAGTGACTGGCAACGCCTGTGGTTTGTGCTTGATCACGAGGCTTTGCACGAGGTATAAATGCCGGCCCCACCTCTACTTAAACGATACACTACGTGAAGCAAGACTTCTAAAGGGTGCCCAGTAATAATGCTTTAGCTTATAATCTTGAATCGCAAGGTGCCTTCGAGTGAAAAATTGAGTACTCATTTTATCTCAACTCCTGAATACTCCCTTATGAATACAGATTAATTTTTTAATCAGCGAAGATTATGTTTCCGGTTGCAGATTGAAAAGGTCGACCGTAAATCTATCTCGCGTAGTATGTCAAGAAGACCCACTGGCGGTGGAGGTGTGGACAGTCCTGTTGCAAGCACCTCCAGTAGGCCATCAGTGCTGAGAATAGAAATGGAGGACATCGTATTCATGACACCATGCGCCGATTTAAGTCTGCCCCCAGGCGGTGGCTTCCGCATTGATACTCTTACAGGTCACCAATTTTTGGTACGTGACGTGTTTTTAAAACCTTTATCTGCTGGTGAGCAACCCCATCGCGACGCGATGACTCATCACTACATCTTAAAGCCTCTAAAACTCTTAGTCTTTAGAACTTCACCAAGGCGTCATTTAGCTCCTAATCTGATAGGTTCTTTGTCTCTTCTGTGTATATGGACTTGGATGAAAGAAGTTATTACATTTTATTTATTTATATGTTTGAAGGAAGAAGGGAAGGCGGTCGAGGAAGTGCAATAGTCAGAGTGTGCTCATTAAGTTATTTTGACTCGTGCAGATTGCAGATACATGGGAAAGTATGGATGGATGGGTTGACGCCATTCGCCTCGTTTATACTATATTTGCCCGCGGAAAGAGGGATGCTCTTGGTGGAGTACTTGCGGGCTGAACTAATTTATCTGACGCAGCATCTGTAGATCTTATCACAGATCAGATCTAATAAAGTAAATACATTAGTGGAGGAGTCCTCATGCTTATTGATAGAGTAGGCATTTAATGACGGGACTTAGAGTTGTTCTTCACAAAGAGCTATGCCCTTTTCTTTAAAAGTTACCAAGGATTTCTAGGGTTCTAATCACATGGGATTAAATTCTTGAATTATCTCCATAAGGCTGTTGGCTTTGTCTAAATTTCTGTCTTTCAAGAGTTGCACTTAATCAACACAGTTCTTCCTATGTCCAACTTGGCTGCATCCAGAGCACTATAAAAAAAATCAGCACGAGTTTCGACTTTTTGCCCATGAGTAGTGTACAATCGCAATTGTATCGATTCTCAAATCGCATGCTTTTCTGGATGCAATTCTTGCGTCAGCAATTGCACTAATCACATTGCCACTTGTCTCGGTTTTTGTTTAATTGTGCTGAACAATAAGAGATTTATTTTTCAGCATATAGTTGTCGTGAAATGTAATGAAACGAGAGTATCAGAGCCGGAAGAAAAGAGTTTTGTATTCCTCTAACTTAACTACGCCACTCCACGTGTCAATATCTCATCGCTTATAGTATAACTTACATCTTTTGTTTTACTCTTTACTTATAATCTCTATTAGGACAACTTGATCGTAAATATAAGATACAAAAATATTTTAGATTCAAATTAACAAACTTTTGAGTTCGCATACTTGCTGCATATTATGAATGATATTAGAATGATATCCTAATGAATCATAATACGAACTTCAGCCATATAAACTTCTGACTTTTTAACGACGATGAAATGCAAACGAAATTAATCAAAAATGAATCTTATTGAATTATCATTCATACATGCATCTAACTTTTTCTTGATATCACTACAGAAGTCATAACATAATCCATCGTTCACATGATACTACACTTGCAATTCCAAATATTTTGTTGAGATCACATTAGAAGAGACAAAACTTATACAAACATATAGTCCAATCGATGACCTCTTTAAAGTACATTCATTTAGTATCCTGACAAGGAGTTACAAAGCTTGAAGAAGAAGAGAGAAATAACCCATTGTGTATAAATTTATAGTTTTTAAGATACAATAATTGGCAAGATGATAAATAATTTAAATTTTTTTATTAAAATATTTATAAATATATTAGAATATCTTACTTCTTCATTTTTATATGGAAAGCATCGGTTGTTATAATCCATATAACATCATATAATAAAATAATGATTAATGATGCTTTGTATAACTTTTAAAATAATAAGTTTAGATAACTTAGATATTGAAATAAAATATTTCCCACTGAGATATATTGTAGGTTAGCCATGTACCAACTAAATACAAATGCAGGTACTTCAGTTGTCAAGTACATTGAACGAATTAGAATTTATAGTGTACTTAAAAGACAAGAACCTAGATTTGGACTTTTCATAAATCAATCTTTAAAATCGAGACCTTGAGAATAAAATTATTTTGGGGTACTAGATAGTGTACGACCTTGGATTATTTAAAACTCCCATTGTGAGGTTTGATCTCATTCTCTTTCTCATTTCTGATTGTTACGAAATAATGTCATATTGGATGTTTTGATAGTAAAAGAAATATTGCTAATGCATTTTTTATGTTGAATTGTTAAAAACTATGTATTGTGATATGTCATAGCTCAACATGTGAACCATAGTGGATTCTGCTGGGTCCAAATAGCCTATTTCATGCTGAGCTAGTACATTAACAGGAGGAGAGATAGTGAATCATGGTGTATGTCTAACCAGTCAGCTAGTTATTGTCACGAAGTTAAACTTGCCGGTCAAGGTCTGGATTCTAAGCAGTCTTTCAAACGTTCACCAGGGGCCTCTTATCTCGAACGATGTAGGCTCTGATTCAACTCCTTATCCACTTGTCATCCCGTTGGCAGTTCCTGTGACACCAAGTCCTTTCTTTCCTGATGGAAAGAGAAGTCAGGATTTGCACCACGAGAGCTGATGCGGGTTCTGCTCAATTGCGGTATTTGCCGTCCGACAGTCTCGACGACTTGAATTGAGTCGCGAGATTTCATTAGAGCTAAGTTTGTGAAGCCTTCTCCGCTCTAAAAAAAAATTCCAGTGTCGAGCCGTGAAATGGCGTCGCTATCGTGTCTGGCAGCCAATTCCGGCTTGAGTGGAATCGGAGCACGGAAGCTTACATTTGAGACCCAGTCACGCAGTGGCAGCAAACGCGAATCCCGCGAGAGAAGAGGCAAAGGATCAGTTAGTGTAAGAAATGAGGCGGGGACAAATGTCAATGTTGATGATAAGCACACATCTTTGCGGAGCGGGAACGACCAGCTGGAAATTACTCGGGTGATCAATGGAATGTGGCAGACCAGTGGAGGATGGGGCAGAATCGAACGTGATGCGGCTGTGGATGCTATGATGAGGCACGTGGATGCTGGGTTCACGACCTTTGACATGGCTGATCACTGTAAGCTACCATTTGCCTCCATACCGAACATTTTAAAGTTTTCAGAGAATTCAGAGCAATGCTTTTCACTTTCACCCAAACTTCTAGATCTCAATGCCGGCGTCTCAATGGTTGTTTAATTATTAGTAAACTCAATAGAAGAACTGGAGATCAGCATTCCGAGATCCACAAACCAGTTACAGTAGAGCGCCATACTTGCCGATACTGAAGAGAGCTGAATTATTACTCACACAGTGTGGCAAAGCCTTTAGTTGCAAAATTCAAGCAACTCTGCAATCCTCGCGTGATGGCATCGAAGGAAAAAGAACGGAGGAGTTCGTATTTTCAATTGCCCCTTGTTATAAAACATTGTGTAATGGATGTGGAAGAGCATAGTTCCGGGAATAAGCACTAAGCAGGACGAGGGCGACATTAACCATCTTGAAACTTATCACACTTTGCAGATGGCCCAGCTGAAGATCTTTACGGGCTTTTCATCAACAAAGTCAGGCGGGAGCGTGGAGACGAACTGGCGACCGGGATCAGAGGGTGAGTTGCAACTCTGTCTGTTATGAAGAGGATTTTTCTAGAGCGACGTGGGAAGATTGTGCAGAAATTGTGTAGGACTGAAATGAAGATTGAGCTCACTCCGAGATTAATCGAAATGAGCTTCTCTTTGGTGAGGGATCTAAAGGTGTGCTCTTCGATTACAATCTTTCACCATGTACTTGACCGTGCAGGCTTACAAAATGGGTTCCATCTCCCGTCAAGATGACAAGGGGCGTTGTGGAAGCAGCCATCGATCGCTCAAGAAAGCGAATGGACGTGAACACTCTTGATATGCTGCAGTTTCACTGGTATGGTACCCCTTTACTAGTACTTCTTCATAAAATCGCTATACAGAAGTAAAGAGTTATCTCTACTAGACTTCATCTATCATACTGCTAGACCACACAAGAAACCAAGCGGATAAGATTTCTTTGAAAAACAAGGATGCTTGATCTTTCTGGAAGATCCATATCTAAAATGCTGGTATGTTCCAGACTAAACGGAAGACGCATGCAGGTGGGACTACTCCAATCGGGGATACTTGGATGCTCTCAAGCACATGGCTGATCTGAAGGAAGAAGGTCAGCTGAGCGAAGTCTAACGATTTACTAAGAATATTTCACATACGTCCCTTTCCGTCATGCCCTCTGATTCTGAAACAATGTTGTTGATCCTTTGCTATGAGTTTCTTCTCCTAAAAATGTATGTTCGTCACACTTGTTGGCACGTATTGTGCCATCAAGGAAGCGAGAATGACTTCGTCTCCCGTGCGTCTCTCTTGGTATTCGGAAAGTGGAATGTTCTTTGCATGAGGTTTAAGGCATATGCATCCTTGATATTGCAGGAAAAATCAAGACTCTTGCTCTGACCAACTTCGACACCAAAAGGTTGGGCATTATCCTTGACAATGGCATCCCCATCGTGAGCAACCAGGTATTTATTTCTGATCTTCTTGTAATACACTACGAAACAATGAACGCTACACGCTTGTTGTTGTCACTTTCAGCTAACATGGGAGTCGTTTTGAATCAGGTTCAACATTCTTTAGTTGACATGCGACCACAACAAAATATGTCTGAATTATGTCAGCGTACCGGTGTCAAGCTGATAACGTGCGTTGCACATTCATGAAAAACTCACCTCATTCTGTTCTTAGATAGGATGAAACCTGCGGATGACTGCTTGAGTCCACTAGTTTTAGCCTAATTTATCCACGACGACATTCTTAGCCAGAAACAATCATTTCTATTTCGCTAATACGTCTCATGCTGCTTTCGTAGATGAATTTGTATGCTGTGTGTAGTTCTCCTTTGGCGCACTGGAGCTTATAAACTCTGACATGAACGAGAGTTGATTCGAATGCAGATATGGCACAGTTATGGGGGGGCTGCTCTCGAATAAATGGCTCGATGTAAATGTTAACGTTCCTTTTATGGGTCCTAAGTTGGACACTCCTTCCCTGGGCAAATATAAGCGAGTAAGACACCTAATCCAGCTCCTTGCTCTCTTGTGAAATAACTTGAGCTTATCTGGTAGGTATATCATGGAGGGTAAAATACTGAAATATCTGGGTCACTTACTGCGCAGATGGTCGATGCCTGGGGAGGTTGGAGTTTGTTCCAGGAACTTCTGCGAACTTGTGATAAGATTGGAAGAAAGCACGGGGTTCCAATCTCCACAGTCGCTGTGCGGTATATTCTGGATCAGGTACTCAATACCATTAAAACACTGCTTCAGTTGAATGGCTGATGGATGTTATGTCATGCTGAGGAAACATAATATACAAAATCGGATTTATCGATCGCTCTTCCAGGCCTTTTTTTTTAAATTTTTATAAACAGGAATCAACTTTGCCCTCCCTCGACATCATCCTCAATGCTATCCCCCTTGACTGAGTCATCCAGCACCTTCTGACATGCTCTTCGCCGTTTTCCAGCCTTGTGTTGGTGGATCCATGATTGGGGTCAGGTTGGGCCTCTCAGAGCACTTGAGAGATTCGCAAGCAATCTTCAACATTCGGCTGGACGACGACGATCGCCAGAGTATCGGGAGAGTCACGTCCAAGGGCAAGAACTTGATGAATGTCATTGGTGACTGTGGCGATGAGTACCGCGGATAATTATCCATAACGGGCAGACGCAGACCGTAGGACCATCAACTACAGAAGTCTCCCGCTTTTTAGGATCTTCCAGTCGAAGATGAATGGGTAAGTCTAGCGCGCGTAGTCTTCGATGTAAAATAAGGAATATCTAACTTGTTGCGGCGTGTCAAGCATAGCCTGGAATCACACCCAAGCAGGATCCCAAGCAAGTACCTGCTTAACGAAATGAAAGTGTAGATCAGTCACCAAAAACAGTGGTATATTGTCTAGAATTTTAAGACTTTCTAAACTTTGAAATAGACTCCCGGAAGTTGTAATTTACAATTCACATTATTAGACTTAGTTTACATTTTATGAAAGACATTGTTTTAAGCAATGCATGGTATATCGATACTATATAAATTTATATGTATATTCCACTTCATAGCTTGTATCATGATTTTCTTTTCACTATGAAATAGTTGTTTAAACAATTTCCCCCATCTTTTACTGATGTGGGACCTTTTTTTTTAAAGCATGGTTCGAACTTATCATGGGAATAAACTACCGCGAAAGTGAGTTTACCAAATTTCCCAGAAAGTCTTAGATATATCAGTTACTTTTGAATGTTCAGGCACATTTTTGCAGTAGTGGTTCATGCTTAAAACAGAGTACTTCCGATTCAACATCCACCTCCATCTAACTTCTTAACCTGAATTGAGTTTGGGTTTTTTTCTCTATGTAAGTGCTCTCTACAGACCTTTCATTGCAATTCAACTTTTAAAAGCTTTATAATTAAGCTATACACTTTGTGCGCATGAAAAGTATTTCTCATACTACAGTAAATTATCACAAACTTGCATGAGGTTCTGTAATGTTGATAAGCGAAATACTTCCATTCATATATATATAGACTTAGTAATTTATTTGAATATTTAGAATGATAACATTCTCATAATCTACTTAAAAAAACGATTTCAAGTAGATTAAAAGACTTGTTTAGAATGATTCCATCAGAACATTCGAGAATTTGGAAAAATGACAAAACTGAATCAGAACCCAACGATTCACAACGCGAAAGAAAACATCTACGATAGCATATTGTAATCAATGTGTTTCAGGAAATAAGTGGATTAAAAATATCTACGATAATCACTGCGATGTGAAGATCATATGATCTGTATGCAGTGGTGGCATCCAACGTCTTATGATCTATGGTGGTTTTTCTTCTTTGTATAATATTGGGTAATGCTATCTGGAAACCAAAGTCAATTAATTTGTGAAAAATATTTGATTGAAAAAAATGCTACACAATAAACTGAGAAAAATTCTAATCATGCTGATGGACTTTAATGCACTCTCTTGCAAACATGCCCAGGTATGAGTTCATATTTAAGTATAACTCTAGTGTCCAATAAACAAACAGCTCATCTCTATTTATATATCTGGAGCATTTGATCTTTGATTTGAACGGTGATTATAATCACCGTTCAAATTATGTCATTTGTAATAAAAAACCATAGCCAGATCTGTCATTTCAACTTGGTAGTACTCAATGAAGTAAAATTCTAACCGAAACCTAGGCAACTGCAAGACAAGTCAAAGCCTTTTTTATATAAGTTATCAATCTTCAAACATTGTCTTAAACATCACTTCATAAGATTATCATGATAATTATACTCTAAACTTCAAATTTTCTTGGAGCAATATTAATTCATGTCCCATTACAATCAAATAAGCTCAATACAATATATATTTTTATAATAAATTATGAATTATATTTAGATCTAGAAAATTAATGATTGTATTAGAATTGCTTCAATTAAATATTTATAAGTTAATATATAAAAAATATGAATGGATTCAACACAAACTTTGCACATCTCATTGTTAATTTTTATAAAACATGGATTATGATGAGACATATATTCTTCATAAATGTCATCATTTTTTTGAATGAAATAATATGTATTACTATGTTTTTGATGATCGTTGTCGTGTACACGTGTATTTGCTATTTTTAGCATTGTTCTTAGGGTTAGGACTCACTCTCGTAGAAGAGTATATAGTCAGCAAAACTCAAAGAACTGTCAGTTCTTCAAGTTGAGCCTATCGCGTAGTAAAGCTTTTAGTCTTGTTAGCTTTGACTCTAGGTCTTTGAGATAGAGTGAGTTGGGCTCGATATGATGTGAAGTTTCGTGTTTGGTAGTGGGGTTTGCATGAGTAATTTCACTCAAAAGAATAATAATAGTAAATAATAATACGTGCTGGCTTGAGTTGCATGTTATGTGAGTCAGCTGACCACGCAGTCTGTATGTTGGTTTGTGATAGTTGTTCTAGAGGATGGCACATGTCGTTTCTGACTCCACCTAACCATGTTAATCCGATTGAACGATGCATTTGTCCTTGATGTACTTCGGAGGGGTAGATGACTTGATCTTCACATGTTATGAATTGCATATAGGCAACTAGATGGGGCTACATAGCACCCGGTCTACTGGTTCGCGCACCTATGAAGACGTATAGCATATAATTGTAGATAGTGCTACCTCGGAGTTAGAGGGAGCTAACAACCAACCAGGAGAGCGAGTTGTGATACATTTGAGTGTGTATGCTCTCATGTCCTATGTATGTGTATGTGTGTACCATCATGGGGCTGTGAGTGTGCTTGGAGAGGATTTCTTGGAGGAATTGTTGAGGAATTGTGAGTTGTTTTAGGATTTGTACGCCCAACTCCAAGGATGGTTGATTTTGACCTGTCATGATTTCATGTATAACAAGGGCAAGATGTGGACATTGTTTCCGAATCTGTAAATGTATGTCGATGCGTTTGGAGTTAGATTTGCAGCTGGTGGCATTTGGATCTCAAGTTTGTCAAGTGTGAAATTGTCAAAGAAGCTTTGGCGTTCGATTTGCTAGAGGTGTTCGGCCAATAAAGTTTGCAACAGTTGTCGTGGTGATTTTTACTCAGGAGATTGCTTTCTTGGGTCTACAGGAATACCAATTTTGGTATTCAAAATGAATGTCGTTATTATGGAAAAATTATCTCAAAATTTTCTGGAGACTTCCATGTCATTGTGTTAGATAACGGATGGTTGTTCTTGAATAGGGCTCGGTGTTTTGATCACTGAAGAGACTTAATAGAATTTTATTCCATCAAACCTCATATTATTCTGAAACACACACTCTGAACCTCTTGTTGAGACCATTAGAGAAGCTCAAGGAGTAGAGTTTGACAATTGTTGTTCATATAGGCTCTTACCTCTTCTACTTTCAATCACATATGCATATTGAAGGGCATCCAATCCATTCACGTTAGTTACCTTTGTCTATCACATTGAATATCGTTGTGAAGGTACATGGAGATTCGTAGATAAGTTTATAGGAAATGTGAAGGACATTTTGTATGTGCTCAATTTAGTGATCTGATTATGTACATTATTTCAATTTTAGTGCATGATGTACTAAAAATTATTCAGAGATTGTTTGTAGCTAGCGTTCCATCTAGGTATAGAGAAAGGTAGTGCCAAGTAGCATAAGAAGACCTTCAAAGATAATATTCAGTTTATCATCAAGCCTGCCATTCGGAGGCTTTCTAGGAGAGATGGAGTAAAGCGTATCAGTGGTCTGATTTATAAATACATCCGTGTGCTGCTAAAGATCTCTCTAGAGAATGTGATTTGTGATGAGTTGAAGTACACCTAACTCGCTCAACGGAAAATTGTCACGGCTATGGATGTTGTACGCCTTAAAGAGGCAAGGAAAAACCGTGTATGGATTTGAAGGCTAAAAATTCAATTGACTCAATTGTAGTGAATTATATATTGTACGTTCAATAGTTGGTGTTTGAAATTCGCGGGCATCTGAACGGGTGCACCATCAAAATCATGCGGAAGGTAGCCAGACAAGTACTCTGAACTTGATACATGACCAGTTCGAAATCCGGAGTATTTACTAGTCACACAAGATGTAAAAGTCTGAGAAAGTTGAGGGAAGAGGAGTATGCATACACATGAAAAGCTAGTTGACATTTAACAGGACTTAAATTTTTGAAAGTCTCTCCTACTCTCGAGTTCCAAAGATCAAAGCAAACGCTGTAGAAGATGTCAGAGTTTTCAAAAGAATGACAACTTCTCAATTGTTGAAAGTGCATGCACTCTTAACTTATCAACTACCACTCGTGAGATACGATGTTACTTGATGAACCAATAGTCGTCCACGTTTGGATTGAAGTAGTTCATCAGCAAACTTCCTTTGGAACGGACAACGTTAAAAAGTATTACACTAGAAACGTTGGAACACAAAACTAGGCTAATGATACAGTAGAGAACTGCTGAAACAGTGAAGAGTATGAACAATCTGAAATTGTTACTTAGTGACGTCACATGTAGAGAACTCTGATATCTTTGAAGTTAAAGGGAAGCTTTTAGTCCCACTAGCTTCAACTCTAGATCTCTAAGGGGATCTTTACGAAACCCGGGATCAAATACCATCGAGATAATATGCGTGCCAAGTTGGGGTCATATTTAGACAAATATAGTAATCCGAGTGTACGGGTTGGGTCAAGTACCACGACATTTCTTGTAAAAAAAACACATGTCATTTCCTTACAACTTGATCCCATTGAAAGACAGTGAGATAATGGGTCCTTTGCTCGAGTTATTAGTTTTTTGTGCACTGGTGCTACTGCATATGCTGTTGTCGTGGAACAAAAAATATCTACATTTCGAACAAAACAACTGTCTTTCAAAATCGTAGAAATTCAATCAAATTGAACCTTGTTGCGGTTTCTGCTCAGGAGCAATAAACTACATGATTTTCATATTTTGCATCTTCAAAAACTAGCGTGGTTTTGGCTTGAGGTGACATTAGAAAATGAATACTCTCCACGCCAATCCTCTCCCTCACATTTTTATTTTCATAGCAGGTAATTTTCAGCTTGAACAATGGAGAGTGGTCCTGCCGCTTGGAAGGATAGTGAGTGCATGAGCAAATGATTAGAGGGTGGACGCAGCTGTTCTACTTAGAAAATTGCTTTCGATCACCTTGGAAGATTGGCTTTCATTTACTGGCAGCTAGCTGCGTTGGGTACCGCGGCTACCGCCATAATGTGCTTATCAACAACGTGAGATCACCACCAAGTTTTTAATTTTTCTTTGAAAATCTACACAATGGATAAGCGAAATGCTATCCCTCTTGTTTTCATAAGTATGCTCTTGACTCGAATCATTGTAGAGAGACAAATGGAGGAGGAGAAAACTATTTTTGCAATTCTGCTATGCGGTTTACAACTGTTTCAACAATTTGTTGAAACTGTTGTAAAAGAATTGGGGATGGTATTTCATAGTCGGGCTTCAAAATAGATTAGGCATCGGAGAAGACACCAAGGTTTTGCAAATACTGTACTCTTGGGAACATATTCAGAGTAGGAATTTGTGAAAAGCTTC